TTTCGTAAGCCAAGTCTTTGGGAAACCACCAGTTTGGGAAGGCTAAAAAGTACAACTTTAAAGGTTCAAATAACAGGTTGTTCAATAGCATCAGGCACAGTGACATAGGTGATCCCCTCTTAGGAGTGTTAAAAAACTCATACTTCACATAATTTAACATAACATATATTTTTTCCTCATTAATAAGAAAACCTGAGCTAGGTTTTGGTATCTCCTCACTGAAATCTTGATACATTATGTTTTATACTAGCTTTCTAAGCAGGGTATTACTGACTAAGAAGTACATGGATGCTTAAATCTGTAGACTTCAGAGGATGTAGTCACAGATATACCTTTCAAGCTTTCCTTATACAGACATGCAAACACCAAACCACTGAATAGTTTCTATTGTTGTTAAATTGTAATTTGGACAATATCTATGTGCTTAGTTCCATTGGCCAAATAAACTTTGAAATCGTGTTTTACATAATTTCAGTCATTGTGTCACAGTATAAATTATTTTGAAAGTGAAGTTTTAGAAATCAGTTTCTAATATGGACTTCCATTCAGAGAAAAAAATTCTAAAAACATTGTACATGGTATAACTAAAACAGGTACTCGCGTCTTAGTTTGGGAATATAGGTATAGGTAATATAGGTCATAAGGTAAAAGGTAAATGTTTCCGCTTGACATTAAGTCGTGTCTGACTCTGGAGGGTGGTGCTCATCTTAATTTCTAAGCCAAAGAGTCAACGTTGTCTGTAGATGCATCCAAGGTCATGTGGCCGGCATGACTGCATGGAGCGCCATTATCTTCCCACTGAAGTGGTACCTATTGATCTACTCACATTTGCATGTTTTCGAACTTCTAGGTTGGCAGAAGCTGGGGCTAACAGCAGGAGTTCACCCCGCTCCATGGATTTGAACCACTGACCTTTTGGTCAGCACGTTCAGCAGCTCAGCGGTTTTAACTTGCTGCGCCATTAGTTCATAAAATATTTAAATTATTTGTTGTTTTGTGCCTTCAAGTAATTTCTGATTTGTGATGTGCTACGGCGAACCTTTTGTGTCAAGGGTTGTTCAGAAGGGGTTTACCTTTGCCGCTGGAGAAAGAGTGACTTTCCCCAGGGTCACCCAGTGGGTTTCCCTGACCAAGTGTGGATTCAAATCCCTTGCATTCCAGATTCATAGTCCACAATGCTCAAATCATTACAGCCCTGTAGCTCTATGTTAGAATTATTTCTTATAGTTTTATGCAGGTAAAAGTACCTTTTAAAAATTAAAATCTGAGAGTGTATTTTTTGTGGTTTATGAGTTTACAAGTAAAATAGTTCTTAAAAAACACAAATTCTTTGGTATTGTTTGTGCTCACAACTTCTGTAGTCAACTTTCCTTGTTTTCCTTGAGCCATGCCTGTCATTTGCTTTCCTTTGCAAAGCTTATTGCCGATGATAGGTTAATTTGCCATATGTTCCATAATTGAATTAGAGTATTTATACTCCAAACATTTCTATCATCTGTCTTTGCTTCTGCCAGAAATCTACTTTAAAACAATTCCTTTTAGCAATATACTTCAAATCTGCTTTACAAGCTCTCCATTAAAGCTTGGATCTATCTGATGGTCAGATGTTAGCTGTGCTTATATGAATGACTTTGTCTTGTAAGAATACGTAAACAAACAGTACTAGTGTGCAGCTTAATCTCAGTACTTTAGTGGATTGAATTGGAACCTTCACATTTACAGCTTAGCCAATTTAACCAGTTTGTAGATACCACATGTTTTCACTAGGTCAGACATCTTTGCTAGTGTCTGATAAGCATTGCCGTTGTCTGTTTTAATTAATATCACTGCTGATAATAAAAACTGCAATTTCTGGCTCAAGCCTATATCCAAGCAATGTTTTCCCTGTTTATGTGCAGAAGATTCTAATAATCTCTTTTCCTTATCTTATAGCAGGGATAGGGAACCTTTGGCCCTCCAGCTGTGGTGGACTTCAACTCCCACAATTCCTTGAGGCTCGGCATTCGCCCCAAAGGCTTACCTTGGCCCAATGCCGAGCCTCAAGGAATTGTGGGAGTTGAAGTCCACCACAGCTGGAGGGCCAAAGGTTCCCTACCCCTGTCTTATAGGATTCCTTTCTCTTCCCATCCCACTCCCCTTCTCTTAGGAGTTTTTGCACAGTGTTAGCCTTGTTTTTGTCTAGAACTTATACACCCTGACTCTTGGGTCATTTCTGTCAATACCACTCCATATCACTGTGAGTCTTTTGAAAATGCATGCTTTCCCACTTGAAATCTGTTAATCACTCCCATATCTCACTATGGTTTGGTAACCACTTAGAATGTGAGCATCTTTCTCTGCATCATTGTGATATTGGAAGCCCAACTAATGCAGTTTTATTGCTCCTCCGTTGGGGATTCCAAGCAATCACCAGCAGGAAGACTCTAGACTGCTGCTGGTGATTGGGTTGGAAGGACTCTGGATTTCCCAAGAATTCCAATAAGAACCACTGTGCATTTGTACTACATTTTCCAGATTTTTTTACTTTATTACCACATTAATTCATCTTTTTAAAATAAGGGGAGTAGTGCAGTACCACAGTATTGCTATTAAGGTTGAGTGTCCGTAAAAAAACAACAGGGATCATGAAAAGTTGAAAGAGTAAATAAAAATAAATATTTTTGAACAAAAATTTAAAAACAATGTAGTAAAGTAGAACTGTACAAATGCTGATGTGCAGGAAAAATCATAGAAAAAATGATGGAAGTGCTGTGATGTGTCATTGTCCTGATCTGGGCAGGAGGTGAGGGTAGATTCATAATAGTATTCTATAGTTGTTGAAATATAACTAACCCTTCACATTTGTGGACTGACTTTTGCAGATACCATTTTTTAAAAATTGATTAAAATACTATCTCTACAAATGTCTAGGCCCTCCAGTTCAACTCTATAATCACATTGACCATAGAGCCATGCTGGAGGCCCTAAGGATTTCCAGAGAGAACACCTCTAGAGGAATCTCTAGGTCCTCCAGGGCAGTCTGTGGTCAGTATCCAGCTGAACTTTCTATGTTTATAGTACAGATTCCTTTTGGAACTCATGATCATTTGTGATCATGATTCATCCACCAAGAAAGAACTTCTTGTGTCATTGAAGAAACAATCCAAATACATTGCAGTGACTTTTCACCTGGCGTATAAATTTGCTATCAAGCAGTCTCCTGTTGAAATGAGAACTCTCCAATGCTCTAGAAGCACTGGAGGCTTTTCTGAGAGATATACCTCTGCAAGATATCTGTAAGACTGCTTTATTGTTTCAAATAGCCATTTGTCATTATAGACTGGATACTGGATCTCAAGTAGATTTCATTTGAGAAAGTAGTATTTTTTTCCTGTGTGGCATAACACTCCCTTTTCATGGTTAGTAGTGTACTACTTCTCCCATTTATATAAATCATAGTGATCACGAAGAAGAACAGGTTGTAACTGTGATTCTTACAGTGATCACCTATCCACTAATGACTTTACCTATCTGCCTGGGTGGCCATTTACATTAGATAGTCCTGAGCGCAATTGGTATACCCCATGATGGTTTTCCTATGGTCTGGTGTCAGTCTATCTTCTGTTTCAGCTGTCTTTTTAGTATCTATATGGGACAGCTGAATAATTGTAATTTGCAGTCGATATTATGTCATCAGTATATTGATGATACCCAATTATATTTCTTTTTTCATCTAGTTCAATTGATGCTTTAAAAAGGTTATTTTAAACTCAATCATGGACTAGATGAGAGTCAGTATGGTGCATAGTGAGCCCTCATTATCTGTTGGAGTTTGGTTCCAAGACTTTCTCTGTTTATACCAAATTCTTGAGTACTCAAGTTCCATTATATACAATGGTGTAGTAAAATGATGTCCCTTATATGAAATAGTAAAATCAAGATTTGCTTTTGGAATTTTTTTGAATATGCTCAAGTTTTGGATGGTTGAATCTAGACAAAGAATCAATGGACACAGACAGATTACTTTAGTGATTTGATTGTTGGATAGAGACATTGGAAGACCAGGGCTAGAATCATCACTCAGCCACAAAAACCCACTGGGTCACTTTAACCAAGTCCCATTCTCTGAGCCTCTGAGGGAAAACACCCCCTGAATAAATTCTGCTGAGAGAACCCCATAATAGGGTTGCCTTAGGGTCTCCATAGGATCTGGTGCTATGATAGGATCTGTGTTTGTCTAATCTGTGATAGTTTAGTTCATGTAGTTTTCAAGAAGAATACGTTTCAAAAAATCACATTAAAGCACTCTTTTCTGTGAAAGAGCAAAATGGTATAAATCTAATAAGCATATTATAGTCATTTGAATAACATTTCAGGTCCACGAAACACTCTTTTATGCAGTCAATTTGCCCATGTTAAGAATCAATGAATTGTTTTGAAAGTTTTCTTTGCCGTAGCATACAAAGTCAGCCGTGCTAAATAATGTTACTTCTTACATGATAGCATTGAGGAGGCTTCACTTTGGTGTAAACTCTTTATCTTACTTTGAAGCACTTTATGTAGTCTTTTAGGTTATTGTGTAACTAGAGTTTTCAATTCCATTTATTTTTTACTGTTAAAATGCTATATATGTGGGGAAACGTCAGAAGAAAATGCTTCTGGAACATTTTTGAAAAACTCACAGCAACCCAGCCTTTGAAAGCCTTTGACAACACAAAATGCTATAGTTTGAAATTTGCCTTAAAAGATGAGGTTGAAGGAAATTCTTACGTGTTTTTCCAACTAGTTAGGGTCCAAAGTATGTATTTGGAAAGACTGTTTTACCATGTTTATGTAGTAAAGATGTTATAGTTTAACAGAGCAGTGGTCAAACTATGTAGACTTCAGAGGAAGAATTTCTTCCTCTCTCCAAATAAGAACAATGATTCATTTTGAGCTGTGGTTTTCTTTAAGGATTCACTTCCACCAGTACTTAAGATGCCACAGCAACACAGCCTGTAATAGTGTTTGTTTTCTTCCAGAATACAAAATATGTTGTTGGCCTTGGCACCAAGTGATTGAAGGGGAACAGAAGAAGCCCCCACCTCATTGATGACAACATGGGAAATACAACTACTAAATTCCGTAAAGCACTTATAAATGGAGATGAAAGTTTAGCCTGTCAAATATATGAGAGCAACCCTCAACTTAAAGAATCTCTAGATCCCAACATTTCTTATGGAGAGCCTTACCAGCATAACACTCCGTTACATTATGCAGCTAGGCATGGCATGAATAGAATATTAGGGTGAGTATTGTGCTTTTATTCTTTGTAAAAAAAAACAAAAAACATTATTTCTTCCTTGCCTCTCCTCGTGGCTTATTCAAAATATGTTCAGATTTTTCTGAGTTGTGTACTTATGTATAGCATAACAAATGTATTTAGCAGCTCTTTTTGATGTGCAGGTGTTCAAATGTATTTTGTTTTGCGTGTAAACTGTAATGTATCGTTGTTATGGTAAGGATCCAAAAAACAGTGCGAATAGTTTTGCATTCAAAGCGTTTTTTATTTTGAATTTCTCAAGTGTCATCCTTTACACCACAAAACAAATGATCTTAAAATAATATGGATAGGATTCTTCTTTTTTTTAAAAACCAAGTATGTGCATTCTGTTTATCCTTGCAAATTCATTGTTTCTATGCTGTCACATGTATGGATTATGCAGCTTTTCAGAACAGGATTTTGGAAAAGCTTGTTGCCTTAGAACCATTTTAGCTGCTGTGCTTGAGCAGAGAAACCTTTTGATCTGAGGGTAATTCAAGGGCAATATATAAGGAACTTCTCAGATCTTTATCAAGGAGATATCCCACTTGTCCTCCTTATTATCTATCTTATTTATTCTTTGTATCTGTTTCATATGTTTGGGGAGTATAGTATGTGTAATAATATATAATCTAAACAACCATTGAAAAACTGCCTGTACAAAACATCTAGAGCAGCATAGCCAAAAGAGCCAATTCCTGTTTTGGGTCAGCAAAGAGATATGAGACAGCCTTTGCTGCTGCTTGGTGCACTCTTGACACCTGCACAAGGGGGCTCAAAGCAGATTGCCACAAGTTTAGCTTGTCTAACAAGTCAGCCAAAAGCAAACAAGCAAGCAAACACAAGTCCCAATGGCAATAGTAATATACATAGGGATTCCCCAAGGGGACTGATGTTATCTTTTCTTTGCAATAACCTTTTGCAATATGATGAAGTTTCCACATGGAAGATGACTCCTCTATCCTTGGAAGCTGTAATGTGATTTCGCAGTGCTGAGATTTATACCTAAGTATTTTTTTTCAAATTATTATTATTATTAACTTTTTAAAAAACCCTGCCTTTCTCCCTGTGAACACTCAAAGCAGCTAGCAATCCTACAGTTAGTCAAGTTTAAAAAGCTCACCACAAAAGTTAAAAAACAATAAATAGTAACAATGTGGAAAAAAACAGATTAAAATATACTCAATACACTTAAAATAGCCTTTAAAACTCAATGCCCCCCCCCCACCCACCCACGCATCTCTGCCCCTTTATCCTTCCCCAAATGCCTGCTGGCAGAAGAAGTATTTCAGTTCAAACCAACTCTTTATCGACTTGTCACTGTATGTGTCATAAGTGTTTTCATTCTTGTAGCCTTCATTGTAAAACCAAAAATCTGGAGCTTGGGGGGGGGGGGTCATATTGAAAGCCTTTATCTCCTTTGGAACAGATATCCATTGCTGTTAGATATGTTCAGAACAACATTAGCTTCTCAGAATGAGAAACACAAATGAGGAAACACAGAACCTTTCATTGAGTTAGGATTGTAGCTTTAAAGTTTCCAAGAGTGTGGTTTGTGACTTAGGAGTAAGGAAACAGTTTTATCTTCTATGATTAGACTTCCAGAAAAACTAGTGACTGAATATTATCTAAATTGCCCTGAGTATCTTCGGGAAGTAAGGGAAGGGCATAAATAACATTATTCCAGCCAAGCAGCTGTGTTTGACTTAAGTGTTGTCCTTTGGTGAAATACTTCACTTTTGCTAAATTTGTAGTCCTTGTCTTTAATAATTGATTTAAATTGAATGTCTTTTTATAAAGAAAAGCAAGGTGATACTAACAGAGATTCTAAAGTGTAGCTGTATGTACTTTTTGAAGCAGGAACATAAAATGTGTAGTTGGATAAAAAGTTTTGCTGACAGTGAGCGCTAAAAATCCAGTACACTGGAGATATGTTTGTGAGTTCACCATGGAAACAGGAAACTAGATAATAGTGAACCTTATTAAAATGAACGACTTTTGTCAGAAGTTACCATAGAGTCACCCAGAAGGATCTAGCAAATGCCTAGGAAGGCATCCTCTCTAGTAATTAGTTAGGTACAGACTTGCCCTGGGGGGATCTAGCAAGTTTATAGCGAGGATACCTTCCTAGAGGATTCCTAGGGAAAGCCATATGTGGGTAGAAGAAACCTTGGATTCCAATCCTGCAAGTACAGGAGTTATACTGCAGCTTTTAGAAGAAAGGAAATAAAATTTGTAAGATATTTTTAGTTTGAGAAAAGGACACTAATTTAGGTGGGGGGGGCAGCCATAAGTCTACTTAGCATTTTGACTATCGGATACTGGCCAATAATTAGTTGTGGTGTGAAAGATTATGATTGAATTTCATTTCCTTCCATTTTGAATAGCATGTCCGTACATTTATTAAATTCTAATTTTAGGTGTTCTGTTTTAGATCTGATTGTAACTCTGAATTCCATCATTTTATATACCGTATGTGTTATCAAGTTCCTCATAGATTTCAGAGGTTTGTAATATCCTGTGGACATGGCTTCTCCACTCATCTAAATTTTATATTATTACTTGAATTTTAATGTAACTGTGATATTTTGTCCACGAATATGAAGTGAATAATGACAGCTAAATTTTAATAGCTTCAAAAAGACAGTTTATTGACCTGAATCATAGAGCCTGTTGTCTGCTACCAAAAACAAAGAGTATGGCGAAACCCAGACAGACTCAAACATTTCTAAAAAGACCATGCAGATTTTGAGAAAGTTAAGAAATAGCTGTCCATATTTTGATGGGGGAAAATGATGAAAGCCGCTCAGAATTTAAAAGGATGCCTAACTTAAAAATGAGCCTTAGAATAAGCAGAATGTATTGCATAAACACAACAGTCTTCAATCTTTCTATGTCATAGTTTAACATTAATAATAGGCAACCCACTTTCAGTTATTTCATATATACCTCTGGATTTTTCTCCTTTTTAGCATCTTTTCTCTAAACCAGTCAAGCATAATGGATTAAAAGAAGGGATGAGTACTTTTAGGTGAAGGGCTCATCCCACACTGATGATTTCTACACATTTCCGCTTCACCTCTGTTCTAGACATTTCTTGTCACTTCTCTATCCAGATATTCTATTTAATTTTGAAAGCACCAAATTTTACTTTATTTGTGGGCATCTTGCTTATGATGTGAATTGTGATGTTAGGTGCGTGTGCTTCACAGCACTCCCCATATGTCTAATCGTCACATGATTTCCTTCTGTTTCTCCTCAGTACCTCTAGAGATACTGTTCAGTGTGTCCTCTCTGAAATGCTTAGGAACAGAAGTGTTTGGGGTTTTAGATTTTTTTTCAGTTTTTGTAATATCTGTATTTGCATATACGTGCATAATCTTGGAGATGGGACCCAAGTCTAAACATGAAAATAATTTATGTTTCATATACACTTTATACACACTATTTCTAACAACCTTGTGCATGAAACAAAGTTTTTGTACATGGAATTATCAAATCAAAACTGTCACTATCTGAGCCACTCATTTTGAATTTTGGGCTTTGTGGAATTTGGTTAAGGAGTACTCAACTTACACAATGAAAACTAGTAAATTGTAATGGTAAAAACATGCACACCGCATCCTCTCTTTCTCTGTGGTCTCCTTCAATACCTCAGTTTACATGGGAAGAATTTGGGGGGATGATATTGCTCCAAGCAAGCAAACAAAGTAATAGTATCATTATAGCTTTCTGCTTTAATATTGTACCTCCAGAGTGGAAATTAGGGAGAAACAGAAATAGTGTACTGCGGACTGCAAATTGGAAACTCATTTGGAAGTAAACTTGAAGAAGAAGAGGGCAATAGGAATCCATGATATCTCTGTAGCACCTTATAAAATTAATGTTCAGGAGAGGTTTTAAAGACTGTTTTCTCCTTGGGAGGAAAGAGATATTTCCCTGGAGATACAGTGATCAAAGGGAGAAATGATTCTGAGTCAGAATGTGAATTGCAAAAAATTCCTTTGGATTGCCTTAATAAAAAGTCCGGCATTCATCTACTCGCCAATTCTGATTGCTCCCTTTCTCAGTGGAGAATTGTGCTAGTCTGCTGCATTTGCCAACTCTTCCAAGGAGATTCCTCTCCCTCTCCTTTCCAAAATAAACCTTGAGAGCCAGGCTGAGAGTGAAGCATGAAAAGATCCACAACCCGTATCTTTCCACACAGAGGGCATTGCCCAAAACTGATTAAATGAACTATTTCTATAGGTGTATATCTGTCCTTGTCCTGCAACTGATGAGGATAGAAATTTAAAAACTAATTGATATATATGTTCGGGGGGGGGGGGGGGGGAATTACTTTTTAAAAAGTTCGGCTAATTCAGGTGGGTTGGCAGTACCTAATTTTAAAATGTATTATGATGCATTTCAATTGCAGCAATTACTTTGTATCATCAGGTAAGATACCTTATCTCAGTGGGTAGAATTAGAGGTGAATACTGATTAATAAAATGAAATGATACTTTATGCAGGTTTAAATACTGTCAAACTGAATAAACTGACCACCTCTTTTTAAAAATACCCAATACTCATTTGACAGAAATGAAAAAAACACTAACTGTAGCTCTGGAACCCTCTCCTGATGTGCTTCATCCTAATACAGTGAGTCATAAAGTAAAATTAGATTAAACTATATATTATCAAATAGTTATGGAAACGGAAATGGAAACATAATGCCAGCTAATATCATAAAGCCTTAACTACACTGATTAGCATTTCTTCCAGACTTCATCAAATAGGCTGCATAGAGGCAAGGAAGAGTCATGTGGCAACATGATATCTTGCCATTTAAAAGTTCTCAAGTGAGGATTTGTATTTCTCTTTTACATTCAGTTAATTAGGACTCTCGTCAATACCTTGTGGGCTATATTTTTACAAACTAGAGTTGTGATGTGTTTCATACCTGAATGTGTGAAAATGAACATCTTAATGAGGGCTGAGTATTCACTTTGAGTTCACCTAGGATTTCTAGTTTATAAACAATGATCCTCAGTATACAGTGTTTTACATGAATACATTGTAAAACCATAGCCAAGGGCATTAATGCTTTATTCAAAATAATCTTTCTTCTCATGTCCTGCACTATTGGGAGAGGCTGCAGTTGCTTTTCTTCTAGTTAGATATTGTTGACTTCTTTTTAAAAAATACAGATAACATAATTATTTCAAAAGGTAATGTGGTAAGCATAATGTGTTTGGGATTAAGCACTAGCAGTCACAACTGATGGTCATTGGTAATACATAGAAGTTCACACTAAAAAGAATCAAAATTAAAGCCTGTATTTAACTTATTTTGCTTTATTTTGTGCTCTTTTAAGAGTTCAGATCAGGTAACTATGTTACCTAAAATATATAGTTTTCTTTGAAAGCATCACAATAATTTTATACTGCATAAAATAATTTAGCAAGAAAAATATGGAATCTACCATGTACATAAACTGTAAGTCTTAACCTTTCAAATTAAGAATTATAGCTGTCTAGCTTATTTGCTTGTCAGTGCCCTATCTTTTCCTATACGGCAGAGATAAACAACTATGGGAAGCTAGAGAGGGATAACATTAGCTCCTTAGGATACCTGGGGAAAAGTGTACCTCTCACATCCTTTGCCACACAATAAATCCATGTTTTTCTTCCAGTTCCCTGCCTAGGATCTGTGGGACACATTTTCACCACAGTTAAGAGGCCCTTGGAAATTAGATAAGGAGCATAAGTACTCAGATGTTGAATTATCCAGGTTGATGTTTCAGTGAGTTGTGCTGCAGATAGAAACTAGACATTATTCTTAATTGTTATACATATAGTTAGGAAAAGCTGTGTCTTGCTCTATTGGTTACTACTTTATTTTCTCCATATAGGACTTTTCTCTTTGTGAGAGATGGTAATCCAAATAAACGAAATATACACAATGAAACATCTATGCACTTGCTTTGTATGGGACCTCAAATTATGATATCAGATGGAGCTCTTCAGCCTCGTTTGACACGGCCTTTCGAAGATGATTTCAGAAGAGCAGATTGCCTGCAGATGATACTGAAATGGAAAGGAGCAAAGCTTGACCAAGGCGAATATGAAAGAGCAGCTATTGATGCTGTTGATAACAAAAAAAATACACCTCTGCACTATGCGGCTGCCTCAGGAATGAAGACCTGCGTTGAGGTAAGATTTAATGTAAATACAGCTAGAACAGGGATGGGAAACACACAATCCTGAGGAGCTTTGCACTGTCTTACATTGTTGTCTACGCCCAGTGGTATCTGAAAGATGACATATTGCCCATTCAGATATAAATAGAGAAAAATGGCAAACAAGTTGTCACTGTTTAGTCCACTTCAGTTATTAAATATGCATCTTGCCTTTCTATCTTAATATAACACAAGGTAATGTACATCAGATTCCAAGAATGCCTCTCATCCAGGCCTTGTTACATCCCTAATTGGACTGTTTCATATCATTGTTTGCCTTAATATGTAAATGGAAGAGTGTACACTGATAAAATAGATGTAATAGAGCAACCTAGCTGCTCAAACACAGGGAGCAACCATTGCAGCACAAACCTTCACTTGCAGGCATGTAATTGCAGAAAAGCCAGACTTGTCAGTAGAGCAGTCACTGATAGAAATGATACTTTTGTTGACAGAAAAAGTGCTGCGTGGTGCCTATTCCTCTTAATGCAGGGGAAGGAGCAACTGTTGACGAAAGCTGTTAAACTGATGTTCACTGTTCTAGTGATGACACATCATCATCAGCTGTAGTGTTGATTCTGTTGAGTGGGGAGAAGGTTCTATCGGTGTTTTTTTAGCAAGCCATTGTGGAAACAGCCTGATCATTCAATCTGTCAAGTAACTTTTGAAATACTACTTTAATACTTCCTATTAATTTAACATTTTTGTATAATTTTCACCAAAAAACATCTTAACTTCTGAAATAGTTTTAAAGTCCATATAAATAATACAGGTGCTATCTATACTCTATAGGGGAAAAGACTATGATGCTTCTCTGTTATACATTTCACACTTGCAATGTGGAATGTGTGGAACTGGGGCATAATGAACAGAACTAGCAGGAAGAGACAATTGTAATTGACAGCATGTTTGTTACTTTTAATAGCTCTCCACAGGGCAATTTTATTCACACACACATCTCTGACAACCATGCAGGCTGCATAGCTTATGTTTATCTCAGTAATAGCAGGACCATAAATAGTATCTTTTGGGAAATTACTTCTGACGTCATAGGAGGCAGCACCAGTAACTGTATAGGCCTTTTTTTGGATGATCTACCCTTTTCCGGGTGTGTCTTTTCTGAATAATAATGCATCAGTGAGGTTCAAAAAGTATCTGCTGAATGTTGAGGAAATGTCATTTTTCTCCCTAGTTTTTTTTTTATGGGTTCCATCCTTAGCATCCCATGCTTACCTTGTACAGCCAGGATTTTTCTTTATATTCTGCTCCAATTCAGTCTATGGGAACTACAGCCCTTGTAGCCTGGTTTTATTGGTGGATTAAAGAGAATTGCATGAAAGGATCTTGAAAACCTGGGAATCTACTTAAATGTGGTTAGCTCTACATACTTCTGTTGCAGGAGAGAAACTCTAGGTTGATGCTCATGTCATGTCTAGTTCACTCATCCCCCTTGATTTTCCTCAGGTCCATGGCATCATTCCAGGCATAATAGTGTCTTATCAGGTGCTGATGCATTGTTCCAGATTTCACATAAGTCCCCTTCAGACATTGTTGCTTAACTACTCCTTCCACTATCAACTAGTAAAAGCATGTCTAATCAGGAAATATCTAATATATTTTTTTAGTAAACATATTAACTTTTAAAATATCTTTCAAGCAATTACTGAATATCCTGCTTTTCTTTGAGGAGCCTGTATTGAGAACCTTGTTAATACAACATTCACTTATCTGGCTTACTTCCTTGTTATTGTTCCTATTTCTCCTAAGTTTGCTAAAAAAATTTGTGAAAACTGAGGACTGCAGAAATTCTGCTTAGAGCATGATAATCCTAATCTATATTTCTGCCTCAGTACACAAGTTTACATGATGGAGTATACCACAGCTTTATGGCACTAGTATGCATCTGTAGGGGCCTCCTGAGTTTCATCCAGCTATAATTTTGGGAAAAGGAATTGCTATCATCAGTTCCATAAGAAAGGGGGATGTACATTGGTGGGAGATCATTGTGAGAGAACATACCGATGCCATTGAGAAAGTGCATGTATTGCTGTAATAGAACTAGATTGAGTATGTTACCAACAAAACTGTAACCTCTGAATTATTTACAACAATGTGTACTGAAAGTGGGTTTTAAAAATTTTCAACCTCAGAGATCTAAAGTAGCAAGGGGTTATTTAAAATGATGTTTTCTTTAACTCTTAGCTTCTAGTAAAACATGGTGGAGACTTGTTTGCTGAAAATGAAAATAAAGATACCCCATGTGACTGTGCAGAGAAGCAGCATCACAAAGAGCTGGCACTTAATCTAGAATCCCAGATGGTGTTCTCACGAGATCCCGAAGCTGAAAGCATTGAAGCAGAATATGCCGCTTTAGACAAAAGAGAGGTAAAACAAACTTAATTATTGATAACCTTGGCTGAAAATAGGCATACACAATGTGTCCTTTATCAGAAAAAAACCTAATTCACCAGAATGTCACAGAAAATTTACACAGTTTGAAGGTCTTGGACTGTGTCTGTTTCCAGAAATGATTGTGAACTGCATACTGACAGTGGTGTGCAGAGGGAGTACATTACATTATTTGCTTTGATTCTGTCCTCCCAATCTATTGATTAAATCAGTTTACTGTTAGATGCCTGTGTATAAATCTTAATGTACATATCCCTGCCATTAGCTCTTCGCTATCCCTAATCTCTCCCTGCACTTCACCTGAAGTAATATTTCTTACCTGTCCCATTAGCTAATGCTTTCTTTTGCAGATGTGATAAGAGGACCAGTTTTTGACCTCATTAGAAAAAGATGGTGTGGTGTGGCAATTAATAGTATGAGTATGTGGGACAGTTAAAGAAAGCATTAGGGCTTGCTTTACTGTTATACTATTTGTAGAAAATTGTGAGATCGCATTTCCTCCTCAGGAGAGAATTTTGCTATCCTAGTATTAGCTGCAGCTAAGAGCTACAACATACTGTTTCTGACTGAAGCTTTTTGCATGTGATTAAGAAGAGATGTGGCTATTGTTATGAATGTTATAACTGTTGTAGATGTATCTGTTAATTGTTATTAAGTTAAAAGGCACAAATTCACTCCTGGGAGCCTATGAGTACACAGACCTTCAGTTTACCACCCATCACTTAATCAGCCTTGTATTAATTTTCTATCTGGTTCTGCTAGATTGACAAAATAATATTTCTATCATATGTCATATAATACCAGGGAACTAATGTTGGCTTTCAATACAAGATTTGATGACTAGATTTGCCAAGTGAAATTCTAGAGAGTCCTAGCTGACAGAAAAGTGCTGATGGATGCAGCTTGCTCTTCCTGTCAGTAGAAACAGCTAAACTGTCCAAAAACAGAATGCTAAGAATGATTTCTGAACCAGTTTTTGTATGCCTTATGCAAGTCAGGATTCATAAATGTATCATGGATTGTGAGCCAAGCTTGTAAGTTGTACAAGTAGTCATAGCATCCCAATTTGGAAAACATACTGTGCATTTTGTTTCTTCTTAATATAGGAGTAGACTATATTCTGTATGTCTGGTATACCAGCCTCCTTATGATTAATTAGGACATTCTTGAATTCTCCTTTAATTCTTTCAAGCAATGAAGAAAGCCATTATATAAATAGTTTCAGCAGGAGCATCAGGAAAAGAGTTAAGGTGAAGCCTGCACCGGATCTCGGCTAAAGTGTGTCAGTGTTAGCCTTCAAATTAAAACACCCTGCTTTTAGAGCCAATGAAGCAGGTTCTGAGATTACTTTTTGGCACAGCCTAATCTGGTAATATAATAATGTTAGTGTGCAAGAAAGGGAAATGTCAGGGAAAGTGTTCCTCATCCTGAATATTATCATTATTGACGCAACTATCAGTGATGTAATCCTCTAATTAAAATTGAAGATACATACAAGACTGAGTTTGAATAGTATATTATAAGTTTGGAACAAAAAATTTAAAGCAGGTTTTCTTTTGGAAGATGTTTACTTGAAAACAAAAATACATTCCAGCAATAGCATTCCTGGATCATTTGTCCTCAGCAACATAGCATTCATTCCTCTGCTATTACACAACTTGGCATGTTAGCTTCGTTTTCATTGTGTGTCTGTGTATGAGTACATGTGCCTTCAAGTCACTTGTAGACTTATGGTGTCCCCATGGATTTCATAGGGTCTTCTTAGGCAAGGAATACTAAAAAAAAATGGTTTTGTCAGTTCCTTTTTTTGAAATATAGCCTACAGCACCAGGTGCTCATTGGCAGTTTCCCACCCAAATGTTTACCAGGCCTGATCCTAATTAGTTTCCGAGATCATACAGGGTTTGGTGCCCTTAGGGTACACAACAGCTTTTACTTTTGTTTAGTTTGTCTATATACACTTTCTTTAATATTATCATTTTTAAAAATATGTGCTTGTCAGTCTTAAATAATTTGTTCTAAAACTTGCATGCATTTTCTGTCCTATTTTACATGGAGTGCAAATGGAGCACTTTGACACAGAGAAGAACTGTGATTATTGATCTAGGTTAAAAAAAAGAAAAAAGAAATGGGTGATGTTTTATCCTTGTGATTATACTCCAGTAGTTCATTGTCTCATATGGAATAGCATTTATAGCAGGCAAAATAATGAACATATACTATGTTATCTGATGTATAATATAAATATTTTTTTTCTTATGCAAAAACTGAAATATTAAGCTTCACAATTTTATTGTGCTTCCTTTTTGTGAGGCTCCCACAAATTATTTCAATACATTGTGTCTCTTTTCTGGTCATTCTGAAATTTTCTTATTCACTCTGTGAATTCACTCTTATTCACTCTGTGAATTTACTTAGTGAGCTGACTTTTTCTAGCACAACACTGCAGGAAATTTTGTGAAGGTAAAGTAGGGTATATGAATTGTTTCTAAATACAGAGATGAGATAACCTTTGGTGATGATCACATTTTTTCCTGTTGGCCTCACAAATTCTGAAGATTTATATAGCATTAACATGTTACTTTGTCCTTATCTTCCACTTCACAGCCATATGAAGGGCTACGACTTCAGGACCTAAGAAGGCTCAAAGATATGCTGATTGTTGAATCTGCTGATATGCTTCAAGCCCCTCTGTTTACTGCAGAAGCTTTGCTTCGAGCACATGGTAAGTATTTCTCAGCCAATTGTAATAACAGATCTCTTGACAAACTATATTAGTATTTTTCTTTCTGTTCTTTTTCCAAATTAACAAAAGCATATTCTAAATGGGAAATAGTGAATATTTCATCTTCCATATAAAGTACAGTTCCTTTGGCCTTGTTCTGTTGATAATAATATGTGGGATCCTTCTCCTAGGCTAGTCACTGATGAGTTTGTAATAGCATGAAAGACATAAGTGGGTGATTTTCTTTGTGAGAGTATGGTTTAGTCTCTCTCTTGTTAATGCAATCCAACTGTATTTATCTGTGGTTTGGGGCATGAATCTGGGAGCCAATACCTACAGAGATATGGATCTTTCGGCTAACTTCATACAGTTTTAGAACTATTATCAAGACTAGGAATTACTACCTTGACATCAAGGATGGGCAAAATTCAACCCTAAGACTACCTGTGTCCCCCAAGGTTCACTTTTGTAGTCCTTGGCTTCTCTGAACTCCATAGACTTCATTTTTCTGGCTAAATAAAGGAGGAAAATTGCCTATTTCTCATTCTTTAATGTCAGAAATTGTTGGTCCTTGATACTATTTGGAATTTTTTAAAAATCCAAAATACACTTCACACCACTTTCAAGTTTTTATTTTTTGCTGTCGTACAGTTTCCAGAGACTTTCCAGAGCAGAAACGCAGGACCTTATCTACAGATCATCAATACAGCACCCACCACATTCCCCCATTATTGGAGCATAGAATTTGCCACCATTTATAGCCATAAGGAAGATTGTAGCATAAGGTAGATGTTCCATGAGTACAGTTACAAAGGAAATGTAGGTTGCAAAGGTTCATCAGAAAATTCATGGTAACAGATGTTTTGCTATATGAGCAGATGCAATAGGGCAATTAGTAGCATACGGAAATCTGTTGAATTACTTGTTTTCAACCTTTTCTTTTCATGACAAACTAAATTACTAAATCATATTTAGTTCATGCAAAAGGTTGTCATGAAAATAGTATCTTGGAAGAAATTCTGCATATGTTCTATATATCATAATATTTACTACCAGTGCACATGATAGTTTTTTGCAAGCTTGGTGCTTGACTCATGCTCTAATGTTATATTAATCATAAATTGTGTATTCATGTATCCACATCTCATTTCCAAAGTACTTCTTAACACTTCCTTCATTTTATTTAAGACTGGGACAGGGAGAAGTTACTTGAAGCTTGGATGTGTAATCCAGAAAACTGCTGCCAACGTTCAGGGGTTCAGATGCCAACTCCTCCCCCAAGTGGATATAATGCTTGGGACACACTTCCTTCACCAAGGACTCCTCGAACTACTCGCTCTTCTATTACTTCCCCAGATGAAATTAGTCTCTCACCAGGAGATGTTGAGACAACTATGGTATGTCTAATTCTAGAGATAAAACTCTCCTAGCATACAAAAGCATATTTCTTGTGAATAACAAATATTTAAAAAATTGATGAAAATTTTAAAGAAATTGACCTTATATGCACTATTTCTGGGTTGGAAGAAACTCTGCTCGTTTTGCAACATACAACTGAGGACCTGGGCACATGGACGATTATAGCGATGATAGCATTTCACATGCAGAGTTTTAAAAAGAAAATCATTTTTGCTGTGAAAGCAAGATTCGTTTTTGTGGAGGAGAAGTTCAACCAGTCCTTCCTTTCAAGCTGGCATAAGCTTTGGAGAGGTCTTGCTGGCGCTAGTGAAAGATTCCACCTGCTTTGGGGAAAAAATCATTTGCAAAAGTCAGATAAAGAGATTTCTTTCAATATAACATAAAACATAAAATGATCTGTGCTGAATGAGACCAAATCCTATCTAATTCAGTAAGCTGTCTCGCAGTTGTTAGTTATTTGCTTATGGGAAAATCATAGGCAGGGATTGAATATTACAGCATCCTTTTGCTTGTATTCATCAGCATCAGATAATTCAGAGGTATATTTTCTATGATACGGAAGAGAATATACAGCAGTCATAATGACTATTTAGTAGTAAGGATAGCAAAATTAGATACGACTGATTCGCAGTTCTCCCAACTGATATTTCCTATCTCGTTGATATGGAGAGCTATTATTTCTTACTTCCAAAAGCCCAGGCATAATATTAAGCAGATTTAATTTTTTTTCATTAATGTGCTAGTTAGTTAAAAAAAAGTCAAGCTAGGGGTTTCCCCTGACATTAAGTCTAGTTGTGTCAGACTCTGGGGGGTGGTGCATTTCTAAGCTGAAGAGCGGGTGTTGTCTGTAGATGCCTCCAAGGTCTGAGGACACCTCCAAGGTCAGCATGACTGCATGGAGCGCCATTATCTTCCTGCAGAAGCAGTACTTATTCATCTACTCACATTTGCATGTTTTCGAACTGCTAGGTTGGCAGAAGCTGGGGCTAACAGTGGGAGCTCACCCAGCTCCCTGGATTTGAAACCTTTTGGTCACCAAGTTCAGCAACAGTGTTTTACTGTGCTTTCCTATACTGTTTTCTAAAATGTCTTGCAATTTTCTCTCCCCCCGCCCCATTGTGAAATTAGTTGTGCCAATCGCATTGTTGCCAAAACAGAAGTTTCTGTGAAGGACAAGCAAATATATATTAAGGAAGCCTTAAGGGGGTAATTATTATCTAGATCATAATAGTTCATAATAGTTCATTATATGACATGAAAACATATTTTCTTGTCTTATTTCTTTCCTCATGTACAGTGTGAAATTTGCATGTGCAATATTTCTATATTTGAAGACCCAGTAGATATTCCTTGTGGACATGAGTTTTGCAGAGCATGTTGGGAAGCGTAAGTATTCATTTTGACATGTTGACAAAATTATTATATTCACTTGATAATATTGATTGAGCATCCCTTATATGAAATGCCAAGGACCAGAAATGTTTTGTTTAAAAAAAAATGGGAGAGGGTGGGGAGTGATCAGGAATGGGACTCTGGAATTAACATGAAATTAATTTGTACACATAGCCTGAATATTTTTAATAAGTTTGTGAATGAAACAAAGCTTGTGTACATTAAATCATCAGAAAGCAAATGTGTCCTACCTCAGCCACACTCCAAATTTTGAAGTTTGGAGTATATCAGAGTTTGGATTTCCAGATGAGGCTACTCAACTTGTAATAAGTTTGATATATTATTTCCACTTGAAAGAAAATTATTATAGACAGTAAAGTAGTGGGCTTTTCAAAATCTTGGTTAATGGGGAAAGTTTAATTCCTAGGACTCTGGTCTAGATGCAGTTTAATTTCCATTTTGAATTGCTATTTCCATATAAATCAGAGAATTCCCAAAATGAAAGCAGAGTAACCCGTGACTGGTTAATGCAGTTCAAGGCCGCATTAAGCAGCTTTGGCTTGCAGTAACCTGGATCCCAGAGTTTAGCCTCCACAGAGCTGATTTGCACTAAGTGGTCAGATGCGCCTTAGATTCCAAATTCCAAATTACATGTTGATCTCACAAAGAACAACAAAATAACTATCACCATTTCAGAGAGAGAGTAAAACTAGAAATAAACAATACCTCACCCCGCCCACCACCCCAAACAAACCTCTGAGGATGCTTGCCATAGATGCAGGCGAAACGGCAGGAGAGAATGCTTCTGGAATATGGCCATACAGCCCGGAAAACTTACAACAACCCAAAACTAGAAAAGCTCACACAAACGTTTCTTCATTGATAGAATTTATCTGTGATTTGCTATAATAACAACTGTGAAATACACTTTAGTCTGAAACTTGTTTCTTCCATTTTTTTTCCTAATTATAGCTTAACATTTTAGCCAAACTGTGCTTAAATATTAAGCTTTTTAAAAGTTACCTTGAAGGTTAATTTTTGCTCTGTAAATGTAATGGGTTTTAATATATCCTTTTCAATTCCAAATACATATATCTAACAGATTTTTGAATATGAAAATTCAAGAGGGTGAAGCCCACAATATTTTTTGCCCAGCGTATGATTGCTTCCAGCCTGTTCCAGTAGAGATCATAGAAAGTGTGGTTTCCAAGGAGATGGATAAACGTTACCTTCAGTTTGATATTAAGGTAAACTGTCAGATTACCAGCATGCAGCTAAAGCACCTGTCTGAGCTGATTGCTCTAACTCCAGTTTTAAAAAGCTCTTCCAGAGAGAAAGACAAATGTCTGTTTGAATAAGTAAGAAGTATGAATAAATAAGAAGTACGAATTTTCTAACGTGTCATTCTGTTTCACTGGCAGTTATTACCTGAAGTGACTGTAGTAGTAGCTGTTGTACCAGAATGCAAATTTACTATGGCTAATCATAGGAAGAGGTTTAAATTTTTTAAAGTGCTTTGAAATGTTTTCGACCCAGCCTTACTGAGCCTTTACGCATTTTACCTCTTGGGACTGGTTGGGGAATGATGTAGTTCTCTAGTTAGTATTGAACCAAACTTGTTACTTTCCAACAACTCATGCATTCCCTAATCAAAGAATCATAACATATTGTAACCTTGAGTGAAGGAATTAGGGCCTGGCAGCAGATCCCACTGGTGGGCCTTACCTATACCTTATACCTTTTGTATGAAAATACAGTAATGTTCCAGATACTGGATGTGATATTTAGTATTACTAAGTTCTTTGAGTTGTATGTAGTGTTAATAGCAAATTGCTAAAATTGTTTACTAGATGTGGGATCATTATCTTTTCTAGGTGTTGCAGTTACTAAACCTATTTTAAACTACAGAAATTGTGAACAACAAGCTGAAGTTTTGTGTCTGTAAAAAGCTCAGATTCAAAATGTAACTGGTTTGCACATCCTTTTTGTTTTGTTTTCAGGCCTTTGTCGAAAATAATCCTTCTATTAAATGGTGTCCGACACCAGGCTGTGAAAGAGCAGTCAGGCTAACAAGACAAGGGTCTAATACATCTGGTTCAGAAGCCCTAAGTTTCCCATTGCTAAGAGCTCCTGCTGTGGATTGTGGGAAAGGGCATCTGTTTTGCTGGTTGGTAATATTTCTTTGTACTCAGCTATAAAACAATCACTGCTTGTTAAAAAACAATTGATGATGATATGCAATACAGTATGGTAGTTAACATTTCTAATTAGATCCTTATATGCATATTGTGAAATCTATTTAGTTTAGGAACGTTCTATCATTTTGTTTTTTAAAATTAAGCATTTTATTGCTTGATGTATTGATAGCATGTAAATCAAATAATTTGTTTTATATGCATTACTGTATTATGGTGTTGTGAACCATCTATTAAACCTAGCTATACATAGACTTATGAATTTTCAGACAGAGGACAGATTTCCCTGTCTGTCCGTCCGTCCGTCCATCCATCCATCCATCCATCCATCCATCCATCCATCCATCCATCTATCTATCTATTTACCTTGTCTTTTGTTGTAAGCTTCCATATTATGGAAAAGAAATCAAGGGAATAGAAGAAGCCTTGAGATCTTTTTTCCTGTTAGTAACATGACATAATGCTATATCTTTTTTTGTAAAGTTTTATTTGTGCTTCAGATCTTTTGTCTGATTACTAGACGATTTATTGATTTACACTATTTTACTCCTTTTAAATTCTCTTCACCAGAAGCATTTTCACAAAATCTTCAGCATTTGAGCCTGAGAAAACTCCTAGGATTCTGTTTCATGCTCTTCTATGAAATTCTATTTCTCAAATAGGGCTAAATTTAGTTGTTTATCTTTTTTGTATGTTGGATGTGTGGCAGATGTCTGAAGCTATTTTTCTGTATTTCCCACAAAAAGAATGAGTCGTGATCAATCTGGAAATCATATTGACACATCTACACCCAGGCACCATCTGGAAGCAGAGTAACTTCTGCTTCAAAAATCTGACTGCTTCTCTTACTGGCAGTTATAATAATATGGGAAGAATATGAAGAACCAGGACTGCTCTTAGCAAAATTATATTATCTCCTGTGAAGGAGTCATATTGTGTAAAAAAAAAAGTAAAAGAGGACAGTAGAGAGAGATTATATATTTGCTGTTTCATCGACTGGCCTTCCCACAGTCAGTCTTGTGCTAGTAAGTTAATTTTACTTTAGTTTATAGAAGACATTTCCTCTCTAAACCATTAAATATTGTAGCAGATGCTTCTTATATCATTATAAATCAACAGAAGAGTAGCCATAGACTTTTTAATGTTATTCTAATGTGAATATCAGAGCCCTTTGAAAGATCCTGTATCACTCTCTAGCTTGACACATGGCAACAAAAAGACACGTACTTCTTGTATTTTTAGAGCATGCCTCCCATCAGATATAAAATATTTTCGCTGCCATTTGGAGGCTAAATTAAGGCGCATACACCTGGCCATTGCCATTGCCTTGACCACTCATAGATCTGCTGTTATTCCAAATGTCTGTATAAAGCCTTGAGTTGGCCTGTGTTGTCTGTTCAGGGACAGGAAGAAAATACTTATTCTTGTCATGGATCTGTAGTTTCTGCATTTTTGAGAGAAGAGAATTTCTGCTCTTTCTGTTCTCATTGGAAGTTTTCTCAGTTGAAACTCAAGCAAGATTTCTCAGCCTCAATTGAGAATTGTTAGGAGTCATGTACTGCATTGTCCTTTCCTCCTTGGTAGATGCATTATGACTTATTCTACCATACATCACATTTTTGGAAACATACTTAGGTATGTTTGCAAAACATAATTGACATTTTATACGATTAAATGTGATTACTGGACTTAACTTTCCTACTTGCATTTTTGCATGATGCTGAGCTTGCATTCTTTAATCCGAGGTTTTTAAAAATGAGAATTTAGCCTGCATTTTGTCAAATGTTCAGGGAATGTCTGGGTGAAGCACATGAACCTTGTGATTGTGAAACATGGAAAAACTGGCTACAGAAGATATCAGAAATGAAACCGGAAGAACGTAAGAATGGTCATTACGTCCTTTTACATACAATTTTTGAAAACTGTTTTAATTGTAGCATAGGATTATTATGTACTGTTAAGAGGAATAGCCCTTGCTGTAATACACGAGATCAGGATCAGCTCTAGTTAGCACTTAGATGGGGGATTGCCAATGAATAACAGGTGCTGAAGGCTATATTTTAGAGAAAGGAATTGGCAAAACCACATCTGAGTATTCCTTTCATAAGAAAACCCTCTGAAATTTATGGAGTCACTATAAGTCAACAGAGGTGACACAAAGAGGTTAACAGTGTGATTTCCATAACAGAGAGCTTGACAGATATGGGCAGGCTGGAGAGGTGAACTGAGAGATAAAGAGAAAATTTGTTTCGCTGACTTATATAGTCATGAGGTGGCATTATTAACACAGAGATAAGCAGCAAAGGATTTGGATTGATCTTGGCTGACTGGGCAAAATGTCTTGCAAAGTAGGATTAGAGTTTTCGTTTTGGGGGCAGCTGAACTTCTGAATTTGAGTACTTTGGTGCAAGGTTTAGGAATAGTAGATGCATAATCCATATTCAACTGCATGGAATCACAGCCAGAGTTAGGAGGAATTTAATTATGACAAAATACGCAAGATATGATATTGTACTGAAGCATCCTTTAGCAAATGGAAATTAATGTGGTACCGACAAGCTGTTATATGGTTAAAGATTTTAAAATAATGAAGGGAAATACTTGTCTTTTTAAATGTTTTGGATTTCAGCTTCCACAGTCCCTAAGGATTGCCTATGCTAACTGAGACTGCTGGAATTAAGATTCTGGAACATTTAAAGAACCAAGGTTCTTCTTCGTGGTCTCTTTGAAATTGCACATATGGATTTTCCTGTGCCTGTGCAGTCAGTTCAGAATCTTAGGATACATTTTGGTGGTAGCCCCACCCACACTCCCCATGGAAGTATATAGTCAGTGAGAGGGGCTACAGGCTCAGTTTCTTTTGTCTGCCACTCTTGCAGCAGCTAAGGAATCTCTCTGTTGCTCTCCAGACTAGTTTTTCAAATTTTGCCTCTCCGTTTTTTGACCAAGGACAGTTACTGAATATTCTTCCTGACTGTCTTACCATTATGATCTCTTCTTCCTCATTTTAACTTGGACTGCTTTGATTGCACTATTTGGATAAGGCTAGCAATGTCCTTTACCACCTTCCTTTAAAAATGCTTGGCCTGTGGGGGGAAGTTGCCCGATACGGATGGGCATGCCATGTGCCTCCTCTGCCTGGGGGACGGCCATGCAGTGCATTCCTGCCATGAATGCCTCTTGTTTATCCCCCAAGCTTGCAAGAATTGAGAATCTAGGCTTAAGGCTCTTTTGTACAACCAAGCCCTCTCCCCCACAGACACACACCCCAGCTGAAGAAGCAATCGTTGTCAGAGCCTCCTGCTTTGCCCGCTGCCAGCCCTGTCTTGGATGATCTCTTACGTTCGGCAGGGAGTTCATCTCCAAAAAGTCCCCCTACCCTGGTCAAGCCAAAGGCGAAAAAATCCAAAACTTCAGGGAAGGGTCTGGAGCGGAGCAAGTGGCAGGAGAAGCAGATGAGGGGAAAGCCAAGCACTCCCTCGGCCACTGCATCCTCAGATGCCTCAACACCAACCCAGTGGCCACTTTGACAGCACCAACACCATCAGAACCTTCTCCTGCTGGGGCTAGAGGACATGCACACAGTGCCACAAACCGGTGGAATTTCAGCCCCCATCATTGGCTAGTGAACTCCTGCCTGGCATCTACTGATCCCTATGCTGGAGTTCTCGGTAAAGGTGGAAAACATCAGCTCAGACCCTTCCTCAGCTCCACCATCTCACTTGGAATCAAGGTCTGAGCTTCATCGCTCAGGGGAGAACATCAGACTAAGATCGCGAAGATGCTCTACCTCTCGGTGATCATACTAGTCCAGAGACTATTACTGCTTGATATTGAGGGGCAAGTCGCCAGCTCCATGATCATGGATCTCCCAGTCACATAGCCCCTCCCAGAGGGCCCAATCCTGGAACGAAGTGTATCGTCATCGCTCCCCTCTCTATTATAGGGAAAGGGATTTTAGAGGGCCATATTATGTTCCTGAGTACCAGGAATATTGGCACTGCTCTTCCCAAGGCCATTATTTTTGCCCATTGTAATTCTGCGATCAGGAGCATCTTCAGGACCACCCACCCATACCAACCATTCCACAAGGGCCATGGCCGCTTTTCTTTGAAGGACATTTGCTAGGTGGCCACCTGGTCTACACCTCTTACATTTGTCACTCATTACAAGCTGGGTGTTCTTTCCAAGAAAGATGTAGTCTTCAGCAGAGCGGGCCTCTTCTCTTTGGTGGCATGACTCCTATCCAAGGTCAGTAGCTTGCTAGTCACCTATATGTGCGATTTCACAGAGACCATGAAGAAGAAGAAAGGGTTGCTTACCTGTAACCATGTTTTTTTGAGTGGTTTTCTGTGAAATTTGCACATCCTTGCCCTTCCTCCCTGCTATTTTGTCATGCCTTGGTCCCTCTGTCTGCTATCCTGCATCAGAGGAACTGAGGCTGTATCCCCTCCCACGGGATATATACCTCCATGGGGAGTGTGGCCAGGGCTACTGCCAAAATGTATCCTAAGAGCTTCTGGAAGATTCCAGACTAACTGCACAGGCTCAAGAAAACACATATGTGCAAATTTCACAGGTGACCACTTGAAGAAACATGGCTACAAGTAAGCAACTCTTTCTTTCCAGCCCCTGATTTAAAGTATTTATGGTGTATCCAAAACAAAATATGATTAGAAAAGCATGTTCTCAACTGTTCTTAATTAAGCTACACAGAATACGGCTTTTATGACTTTTTTCATAAAAAAAAAAGTCACAGAATACTGTTTCTAACTGAGCTTGAGATTTTTAATTCTCGGTATAGTTTAGAGAAGTAAACAGCTTGTTAAACATGGTTCCAAAATTGTAAGCGAAAACTGGCAGACTTGAATGGGTAGGCAGCAACTCTGCTCTTTGATTTTGTTATAATTTAAATGGCTTGGAAACTGTAGCTATAATTTGCCTTCAACATAACATAATATGTGTGGAGTCTCAACTTTTCCTCTTTTTCCCTCTCCAAAGTTGTGGGAGTTAGTGAGGCTTATGAAGATGCAGCCAACTGCTTATGGTTACTCACCAACTCTAAACCATGTGCCAATTGCAAGTCTCCCATTCAGAAGAATGAAGGGTGCAACCATATGCAGTGTGCAAAGGTAAACAAAAATGGTTACTGTATTTCTCAAAGGGGGCTTTTTACAATTTCTTTAAAAAATCCAGCTCAAAAATCCAGACACTGATCATTTTTTCACAACTAGCTATACCTATGAGAAAGCATTTTTCCTTACACTCTTCTTTTTGTACCTGGTAACATCCATAGCATTCTCAGCCCTCTTTGATAAGTGCATATAGGCCATTTGCTAAATATAAAGACTCCACTGAGGCTTTCTTCACCTCTATTCCTCTTAGAGGCCAATCTAAGCATGATAGGCAAATGCAATCCCATGCCTTTTTGTTATGTAAATAGTCTCCACTGTTGGCGGTAGAGAAGATGTGTTTAATCATTTTTTTCCCTGCCCATGCTCTCTACAAAAATCTTTTTGCGTTAATTAAATAAATGCAAATAAGCGGGTACTTTACTTTTGGCATTTATTGTCCTCATTTTGGAAACATGCTTCGAATGAGCGTGCTTTTGCCAGTTAAGAGAGAAGAAAATCAAATTATTGGATGTACCACTTTTTGCAATATGACTTATGACTAATTTGATAGCCATGCTTCCTGGGTTTTTGTTTGTTTGTTTGTTTGTTTGTTTTTTGAATGAATGGACTAATTCCTTTGTCAATATATAGCAATGATTATAAATCAAGATAAAATAGAAGAAGTGACTGAAAATGTATATCTTGGACAGCAAATACAGTTAAATGAATGGGAAAATGGAGAATTGAAAGCCAGCTTGGATGGCTTTCAGTTGAAACCGGACAGTGCTAACAGATGCTAAACTGCCAATGAAGGTCGGAGCAGATAGCTTCAGCACTACAGTTCTAGCATCAATGTTATATGTATCTAAAACATGGGCAACAACAAAGTGAGAGGAGGAAAAACTAGCAATGACTCAGAGAGCAATGGAAAGAAGGCTGTATGGTGTGACAATAAGATATAAAGTCAGCAACAAAGAGCTGTGTCAAAGAACCAAGATCCGCAACGTGGTCAATGAAATCTTTGAGGCAAAAAGAAGATGGGCAGGGCATATCGCACAAACAAAAGACAACCGACTAACAAACTGGATACCAAGAGACCACAAGCAGCCCTTGGGCAGACCTTGTACTTGATGGGACTAGCCAATGGTTAAGCTATTCAGCCAGAAATGGAAAAGAAAAGCACATAATCATATATGTTGGCAAATGGTAGATTTGCATCAAGCCCAAAGTAGTGGCTCAATGACAGATCAAGTCGAATCGAGTAGAAATATATACAGAAGCCATTTAAATGATACATTTTATGTGTCTGGCTCAGAACAATTTCTTCTTCATTCATGGTATATTTTCTCAATGTCATATTAGAACTCAGATTCAAACCATACTTTCATAAAACAATTTTAAAATAATAATAACACTATCAATACTGAAACAGACTTTGAATAGTTGTGTGATGACAACATGATGATGAATTTATCAGGATGTAGTGCTCTAGATCTTATTGCAAGGATCTGACAAATCAGTTTAAAGAACTGGCTCTTTTTTTCCTTTTCAAGTGTAAATATGACTTCTGCTGGATTTGCCTTGAAGAATGGAAGAAGCATAGTTCTTCCACTGGAGGATATTACAGATGTACTCGCTATGAAGTAATTCAGCATGTAGAGGAACAATCAAAGGAAATGACAGCTGAGGTAAGAAGCCAATTTCAAGGAAATTCAGAAAGGGTTTCCTTTTGACTCCCCAAGTGTTTGAATCTGTCACTATGAATGAATAGAATTTACATATTTATGGTAGTTTTACATTTTTTTCAAACCTGTGGGTTTTCGTGGCTCAGGGACTCAGATCTGGATTGCCAAAGTCATAATTTAGTGCTGAAGGCACTACGTTATGCTGACTCCCATTCTAAAATATATCCAGGTGTTTAAAAACATTAAATACACAGATAAAAGCATTCAAATAGATTAGAACAATACTTTAAAAATATTTTAAAATGCCAGATAGTAAAAACAGGGCTGGAGCTAATCTAACTTTACTTGGGAGGAAGTCCCACATCTTGGTTGGGGTTCTGCTGAGGACCTCAAATTTCAGGGAGGGCGAACCTTTATTTGTGTTTATTTTGAGCTGTCTTTCAGTTATAGGGATTTCTGGTGGCGCAGCAGGTTAAACTGCTGAGCTGCTGAACTTGCTGACCGAAAGGTTGGTGGTTCGAATCTGGGGATCCAGGTGAGCTCCCGCTGTTAGGCCCAGCTTCTGCCAACTTAGCAGTTTGAAAACATGCGAATGTGAGTAGATCAACAGGTACCACTTCTGCGGGAAAGTAGCGGTGCTCCATGCAGTCATGGTAGCCACATGACTTTGGAGGCGTCTACAGACAACGTCGACTCTTCGACTTAGAAATGGAGATGAGCACCACCCCCCAGAGTTGGACACAGCTAAACTTAATGCCAGGGGAAATCTTGACCTTTACTTCCGTTATCAAGGTCCAAATTGTTAAGGGTTTTGTAGGTTAAAGATGTTCCAAAAGTGAAATGTTGCCTGCCAATTTAACATCATGGTATCAAATACAATTGATTAGCAGTATCTGGGATTTGTGAAAAAAATCTGCTGTTGATAATTGTAAATGAACTTTCACTTTTAAGTACTACACTGAAGTATCTAATGAAATTCTCTCCCCCGCCCCCCCTTTATTACCTACAATTGTTTTCCAGGCTGAAAAGAAACACAAAAGATTTCAAGAACTCGATAGATTTATGCATTATTACACCAGGTTTAAGAATCACGAACTCAGCTATCAGGTGGGGTTATAAATGGTTCTATAGAATTATTTTCCAGCTTTATTTATTTGAAACATCAGGTTCATAACTTGTCTTCATTTCCTCCCTTCATTTCAGTTAGAACTGCGCCTTCTCAAAACAGCCAAAGAAAAGATGGAGCAACTGAGTAGAGCCCTCAGTGGACGTAAGTATGTCACTTCTGGATGCCTTCTAGTGCTCAAATAGTATGTCTGCCTTTCAGTATTTCATTATTTGTAATACTTATTTTTGTGCATTACAAGGTTATCATTTTTATGGCTGGTGAGTTCAAATGGCATTATATCACTTTTAATACTGTTGGTATTTAATTTTATTTTAGTGTTTGTATATTTCTAGTTTTTAAATTGTATTGTATTGGTTTTTATTGTGAGCTGCTTTGAGCCTCTCTTTTAGAGAGAAAAAGCAGGATACTAAGAAAAATAACAAATAATAATAAAACATTATTTCACACTGGATACGACTTTGCATTATATGACACTATACTCATTAGTATTCTACCACATTTTATAAGTGTGTAAATACACTCATGGACTGAATACTGAAATAACTAGCCAAATTGGTGTTTAACTTCCCCAATAGCCTTACGAAGTCATGGTGCTTCTTAATAGTACTGTCCTTCTTCACAGTACTATTAAGATGATGCAATTATTTTTTATTTAACACATTTTTGTAAGCTGCATTCCAAGGCACATTGCTTATGCCAGATAGAACATCATCTGTACCAGGTTTAGATTCAGCTCTAATTTCATCCAAACATCATCATTTATTCTTAGTTTAGACAAAACCCTAATGTTAGTGGAAACAATAATTACATAAACAGGTAAAAAACTAAACACTATTTCCAGTACTTTGAATTTCTCTTGCAGCAGAAGGAGGATGCCCAGATACCATGTTCATTGAAGATGCTGTTCAAGAACTTCTCAAAACCCGCCGCATCCTAAAGTGTTCTTACCCCTATGGATTCTTTTTAGAACCAAAAAGCACAAAGAAGGAAATATTTGAACTTATGCAGGTAAAGTGTGTACCTGTGGTGATATTTGCTACATCTCATTTTTGAGAAATTTTCTAGTTATATATATAGAATTTATTTTTCAGTGATGCCTACTTTTTGTGGGCTGTCTTTTGCAACTACTAGAAACTATTACTCTTTTTGAGGTTCAACAAAGTTGATGTGGATATTTATTTTCTATTCAAGACAGACCTTGAAATGGTAACAGAGGACCTTGCCCAGAAAGTGAACAGGCCTTACCTTCGTACTCCTCGTCACAAAATCATTCGTGCTGCCTGCCTTGTGCAGCAGAAGAGGCAAGAGTTCCTCGCCTCCGTCGCCCGAGGAGTTGCTCCAGCAGATTCCCCAGAAGCTCCGAGGCGCAGGTAACCTAGTTCTAGCAGAGGTTTGCACATCCCAAGTAGTTACTTCTGTAGTCAACAACCTTCATAAGCCTATGTTACAAACTTGTTCAGTTATCAGGTCTAGGCAAACTTTGGCCCTCCAGGTGTTTTGGACTCCAGCTCCCACAATTCCTAACAGCTGGTAGGCTGTTAGGAATTGTGGGAGTTGAAGTCCAAAACACCTGGAGGGCCAAAGTTTGCCCATGCCTGAGTTAGATGAAGAGAGTAGGAAATTAATTTTGAGTTAAATTGAAAAGTTTGGGATCAAAGGAAGGTTGTGAAGGAGGGACATATAAAATGGATGTATTTCTCTGCTTTTGACATGTATTCCAATTAAATATGTTCCAGAATCTTATTTTTAGTCTCAACTAGAACTGACACATTGAAGCAGTGGAATTTAATAGTGAGTCTACTCAGGTTGAGACAAAACAACAGGATTCATCTTACATTCTATAGATTTCTACAAAGAAGTGTGTCTAGTTTTGGACAGCATATAAGTCTAATATTATAGGTTTGTTTCTCACATTAGATGTAATGTTTTATTGTCAGTTCAACCAGGTCCAGTCTAAATATTGGTTAAGCTGGCAGCTCCAGATCTGAAAAATGTACAGTTCTTTTCACGAGACTAGTTAAATTAGCACACTGAGTAGTGTTTAAATAGTAAATTGTTTTTCTTTTCAATGTGTTGGGTGGCAGCGGGGGCTGTTCATAATTTATGTAATTCTCCAATGACGGTCTGTTTAATTTATAGCTTTGCTGGTGGAACATGGGATTGGGAATACTTAGGATTTGCATCTCCTGAGGTAATTCCTGTCATTTATAATTATGTAAAAATTTGCATATTATGAACATAACTAAATTTCACTTTGCATGATTAGCTTTTTTAATGGCATTGCAAACTATATCAAAGTTTGCAAGGTCTGGATAAAATTTCTGTTTTCGCTGCTTTGCAATAGAAGGAAATATATTAAGGCTGTATTCCTCTGGTATGCAGATAAAGGACAAATCCCTGTCCCGTGTGTAATCTGGTGTCAATTCTTGCCAGGCACACAGTCATGATGGCCGTAGCTTAAAGTAATATTCTCTGCCTATTCAATAAGGGGACCATGCTGTTCCATCCCTTGCAAGATCCCAGTTCTGTTCTTTGTTCACAAGGAAGGGATGCCATGTTATAAGATTTGACCTTAGTGGGATGCTTTGCCATAATACAGGAGCAAATGTTCCTATTTCTGTTTTTCCTGAGTTGGTTCCTGATACAGCCTTCCAGCAACCAGCTATAACTCTTTTCCCAGTCTATTTTTCCATCTTTCAATGGATAAATTCAAACACGTTTATTTTGCATTTCCTCATTTTAGAACTTTTACATGTGTCTGTAGTCTTAAAAGCATGGAGATGTGCTTTCCATACTTGAGGAAGGAGAGTTGGCAGTATCTCTTAAGTCTGTTTGCTTGTTTGTTATAGTGTTTGTAATAGCACTGTTTGCAGCACAAACAAACTTTATTTCTGCCATTAGGGCAAGTTATCTCAATCTGATCTACCAAAAGGAGGTGCAGGGGACAGTAAACCAAAATAAAGCAGAAAAAAATGACAAACAACTGACATAAAACATGAAATTGGAGCACTTAGCTATTCAGAAATATCCTTATAATAGCTTGGAGAATGACACATGAAGACTTTACCTTGACATTTCCTTTCCAGTTTTTGTTTGTACATTAAGTGGTGGAGCATAAATCGGGAAAGAATCTTCAGTTTCAACCATCCATGGTTTTTTGCATATTTCCTTTATTGTTGCTGGGTAGGATTTTGCTTGCAAATAATATAGCTTGCTTCTTCTAGACAAATTAGCTTGCTTGCTTTATTCCCAGTTCTTCCAATGATGTGTTGTTGCCATGTTTATAACAGAACATTGTAATATAAAGTGCAAGAAATATATGCTTACTATCAATGCACATTGCTTGAGGTCAACATGCTATATTAGTGCATTGAATAATTTTGACTTGATGCTTTGGCTGTTTAAGAGCTATCCCATAGAGCCTCTCTTCACATACTGCCTCTAACTATGAGGATATTGTGTCCATAGAATTAATAATCATAACTAGAGCTATAGTCTGTGAGTTCATTTAATCCTATTAAAATAGACTTTATACCACGGAATTCCTGTTTATCTTGTAATCTTAGATGCATTTCAACATAAGAAGATGTGCCTGTAGCTTAGTAGGCCTCTCTGTTAGTTTGCCTCAGTGGGAGAAAGTTCTCAGTCTGTGAGAAGGCCTCACAGTATGAGGTGGTGATTATAATGTTTATTTGTTTTAATGAACATTTTAACTTTAATTTTAAATTTTTTAATTTTAACTTAAATGTATTTAATTGTTTTTTCTTTAAAGGCATCAAATAGTTGTTATTTGTAAAGGTGCCTTGAGTCCCCTTCGGGGTAGAGAAAGATGGGATATAAATAGAGAAAATAAATAAAAAAGAAAGAAAGAAAGAAAGAAAGAACACAAGCTCATTAGCTTTTTAAGTATTATGGACACAGGATAAATGTTGAGTCATTGTTGCTGTTCAGGACCTACTAGATAGTCTTTTAATGTTAGACAAATACAGAAAGCATTAAGTCATCAATATATTGGAGCCCCCGGTGGCGCAGTGGGTTAAACCCCTGTGCCGGCAGGACTGAAGACTGACAGGTTGCAGGTTCGAATCTGGGGAGAGGCGGATGAGCTCCCTCTATCAACTCTAGCTCCTCATGCGGGGACATGACAGAAGCCTCCCACAAGGATGATAAAAACATCAATTCATCCGGGTGTCCCCTGGGCAACATCCTTGCAGATGGCCAATTCTCTCACACCAGAAGCGACTTGCAGTTTCTCAAGTCGCTCCTGACACGACAAAAAAAATCAATATATTTTCTGATATGTGAACTCACATCAAATATACACCATTACAATGTAAATAAAATAAACAGGACTAGGAAAACCTGTAAGAAGAGGAATGCAAACTGTTAGATGGGAGCTGCTTTAGAGCTATTAGCTTAATTTGTTCTTCTAGTAATTCTTTGTGTGAATTGTATTTTTTTTATTTGTAAAAAGCTTACATGGTTATAGGCCAGAGGTGGGCAGAAAGTAGATTTAGATCTGCTAGTAGATTTCTTGGTGATCTACAATAGAACAGCAAGGATTTCTGACTCCCAGTTCTTGTTTAACAAAAGGAAAAACACAGTGACTCTTGCCACTCTAAATTATGCTGATAAAATAAAGTTTGGCTTCACAGGAAATTCATTTTTGTCAGCACAGAATTCTTTAATTCAGTATATCTGTTACACCATCTTCTAATAAGTGGCTCCCACAGTTCCGTTTAAAAATCAAAATAATCTTCTGAAATCTGCCCACCCCTGGTGTAGGCTGCTGTTTCCATTTTAATGAAAACAGGTGATTTTATAAGGCATAAAATCACAGGCATTCTTTTTTCTTTCTTTAAATGTGCTGTTTGTTATGCCCATAAATATTACTGCATGCTCCCCTGTATTTTGTAACGTTTGGTTTATGCAGGAATATGCTGAATTTCAGTATCGGAGGAGACACCGGCAGCGGCGGCGCGGAGACATGCACAGCCTGCTTAGTAATGCTCCGGACCCTGAGGACCCCAGTGAGAGCACCCTAGGTCAGGTTTGGCATAGAACAACTTGGTTCCCTTTCTAGCTAGAGCCAACCATGTACGAACTTTGGCCCTCCAGATGTTTTGGACTTCAACTCCCACAATTCCTACCAGCCTACCTACTATTAGAAATTGTGGGTGTTGAAGTCCAAACCACCTGGAGGGCCAAAGTTTTCCCACACATCCCTCATTTCACATAATAATTCCAATAGATATATAAGTTAATGGAGTTTCTTTAAAGCCAAGAACCTGTTATTGTTTGATCAAAAACAAAAATAACAAACAGGGAGGAAAATTACCATATTTAGCGTATCAGAACATAAACTGGAGACATTTTTACATGTTTGGGGCTACTTCAGAACAAGTGCTTAAATCTTGAGATCTTTAGGATGAAATAAAATATTTTGAGGGGAAAATATACCACGTAGTATTGAAATAATAAAAGATGGTTGTGGGAATTAGCAAAGTAATTGAGAATACAAAGGGCAATGTAGCAATCTCTGTGATTCTTACCTGGAATTCCATTGCATTTAAAGAATGAAGCTTACATTTTTCCAAAATATAAAAAGATGTGTCCGGAAAAGAAGTTATGTAAGCTAGGTTCCTGCTTGCAGAATATGCAGAAGAGCGGATAAGCAGCTCTTCTCTATTTTCACACAAGAAGAGTATCTTCACTTTGAGGAGATGTTTTGAGTTCTGTTCTGAAGTGCTTATGTTAGTACTCTGAAAACAACCTTATATCAGACTGTTTCCATTTCTGATCCAATACTGTGTATTCTGGCAGTGGCTTTTGAGGCGCTCAGGCTGAAGTCTTCCACATTACCTAAAATGATCTGAGGAATACGTATTTACCATGAACCTAGTCAGTAGGTTTAAAATATGAATCATGCCACAGGGAATATGCCTAGGAGTGTTCTGACAGTTAACAACAAACATGTTTGATGCAGAAATGCTTAAAACATATCCAGTGTCACAAGAAGTACATTGGCTGTTCCACATTTTCTTCGGTATTTTCAGGTCATTTGCTAGTCCATGGCAAGATGACTTTTAAGATGAAAGAAGCAAAAAATAAAGAAACCAAACCCCTATGGATTTAAAAGGAAGGGGGTATACATTTTCTGGATTAAACAAGAAGTCAATTTTTCAAATTGATTTTTAATACAAGTTCCTTGTTGTTGAACAGAAACCCAAGAAGCTGGCAGTAGTAACAGAAGGCATGGAAATTCCATGGTGAGTTCAGCTTCCATGAGTATTCTTCACAGCTCTTCTCTTCACGACTATACTCCTGTTAGTCATTCTGAAAACCAAGATTCTTTGCAGGTATATGCTTTTCTTCCTTCCTTCCTCCCTTTTCTTTGATGCGCTGTCTCTTCACCTTGCATGCCTCTGCTTTCTATATTCTATATTTTGGCTGCTGAGAGTTGAAGATCTAGATACCTTGGTTCAAAACTGGTTTAAGGACATAGGAAGGAGATCCCTGGTATCTTTCCATAGAAATATTAGGAAATAAATGTGTGTTTCTTTCACTAGAACTCAATCTCATTAATTTGTATAGATCAGTTTTCCACAGCAGCATTTTTTGGATTTTATTCTGACAATTAGAGTCTATTTAATACATTTTGGCAGCTAGACTCTAAATCAGGCCTGCACAACCTGCGGCCCTCCACGTGTTTGGGACTCCTACTCCCAGAAGCCCTAGCCAGTTTGTCCAATGGTCAGGAATTCTGGGAGCTGAAGTCCAAATAATAATAATAATAATAATAATAATAATAATAATACAAGCTAACAAAATCAAACTTTTTCTAATAATCAGACATGAGAGTAGCACAGTTTAAATCAATGTCTATGCTTATTTTAAATAGGTCTTTATTTTTTTTTCTATCACATCAAATGAAATCAAATGGAAACCGCTTTGAGTCCCCCAGGGGTGAGAAAGGCGAGATATAAATACTGTAAATAAATAATAAATAAATAAATATGATGAATGATACATTACAGTGGACTGCTGTAAAGTCTGCACATTTCACATTTTTGTGTAACACAAGCCAATAAGTATTTTTCATCAGATATAATTTTAGGTCATTCAGATCTGTGTTTATTTTTTGTCTATCACATGTAGTTTTTGCGATGCGGCTAATTGAATAATTAATTCATTTACACACTCATATCAATAACATCTAATTAACCACAAGCCAACAAGTATTTTTCACCAGATATGATTTTAGGATCATTCTTATAGAGTTTTTTTGTGCTGCATTCAGATCTGTGTTTATTTTTAGATTCTATTGATATCACTGCGTAAATGCATTCATTATTCGATTAGCCTCATTGCAAAAACTACATGTAATAGAGAGAGAAAAAACACAGATCTGAATTCAATGCAAAAAAAAAAACTCTATAGGAATGATCTAAAATTATATCTAATGAAAAATATTTGTTGGCCTGTTGGCTTGTGTAGTAATATCATCATCAAATAATAAACTCTAATTATCAGAATGAAACACTGATGTGGGAAACTACCCTCAACAAATCAATTAGATTATTAATTTAATAACTAGTTGAAGCAAAAAAATAAGCATTATTTAAACATCTCTATGTATGCATAATTGAGTAGTAACTTAACTGAAAGTGTGTTTGATAAAAATTGCATATAGACATTTGTTAATTTTTAATATTTCTCACAGGCTCTGAGTTCCTTGGATGAAGATGACCCAAACATCCTGCTTGCTATTCAGTTGTCATTGCAAGAATCTGGTTTGGTTATTGATGAGGAAACCAGAGACTTCCTGACCAATGAAGCTTCCTTGGGAGCAATTGGTACTTCTTTGCCTACAAGGTTGGACTCGGGTCCCATAAACATAGATAACCCAAGAGCAGCTCTGAGCAGCTCTGAACTTTTAGAACTTGGCGATAGTCTAATGAAGCTAAGTGCAGATAGTGATCCCTTTTCTGCCGACCATCTTAGTTCTCACACCTTCAGTGATGCAAGGAGTGGCTTGTACTCAACGTCTAGCGAAGCTGACTCAAGTAGCCAAGACCCCAATATAAACGAAAACCTCCTTGGGAACATAATGGCCTGGTTCCACGACATGAATCCTCAGAGTATTGCACTAATCCCTTCTGCAAGTACAGAAACAGATGAGGATTCACAGCAACCCAGTACTGAAGAAGGGTCAGTGGAGCAACCCCATCTTCCAGATCTGAGGCAGGATCCTCTGGAGGAACATGCGCTTTTTGAAGACGAGCTCAAAAACGAAGGCAGAGGCACCCAAACCGAAGAGGGCACCGCTGCTGCTGTTGGGGACCTTGTTACCGGAGAAGCTTTACCACAAAGTGGGGACACAGGTAGTGAGGCGGCCGGCCAAGCCGACGCTTCAGGAGATGTTTCAAGTCAGACATCTCAGACCTTGCCTGAATGGACTGAACACTCACATTTGGTGTGATCACAAAGAAGTCTGAACATAGGATTACGGTTATGGAGCCAGAATGGCTAGGCAGTGTCCAGTGGTACATGACGTGGAGTAAGTGTCCTGAAGACTATGGTCCATGTTAGCAGAGCTTGGTTGTTTGCCAGTGGTCTCGAGAGATGAAATAAGTAGGAATTCCCCTGAAGTTCTTTCTGGTGGTTTTTTGAACTTTTCAGGGAATTTCCATTACATTTGGCAGTAAGTGTCTTGCTTGCATTGAAGAGAGAGGAATGATCTGTTCTCCACATGTCTAATACAATGCAGCATCTATTTAGCCTTAGACTGGCGATCCTTAACTTGAAAGTATGGATTAAAGGCTTACTGAGACTAATTTGGGTTATTGGTCATAATAAAACATTTTCTCTTCCCTCTTTATTTGAATTGTATTTTGACAAAACAAAGTTTGGCAGTGTATATTAACACCTTGCTTTTCCACAGCATTTCCCTAACTAATCTTGATCTTGCTGAGGTATGTAATACTTCTTTCTATTGCTGCTTGACAACCAAGAAATGGGTAGTCTTTTCTAAACAAAACCAACTTTTTAATGTCTATTTACAGTAAGGCCCCATCTACACTGCCGTATAATGCAGTTTGAACTTCATTACATGATCAGTGTAGACTCATATAATGCAGATTGAACTGCATTGAACTAGGTTATATGAGTCTGTATTGCTCTAATCCACTTCAATCTGCATTATAATGGCAGTGTAGATGGGGGGCCTAAGATGTGCCAAACTGTGAATAGCAAACCAATTTCAACAACAGTACAAAAGTATACAGTATTGCTCTTGTAAATCTACCCATGATTGTTAACGACGGAAAGACCACTTGAAAGAATTGTTTTTTTTCCGAATTTAACTGGCATTTATTGCCATGGTGACTGCATTAACATAAGGTACAGGTTAAGTTAATTAAGCTCAATTCCACTGTAAAGAACAGTTATTTTAAACGCTTGATTAGCAGCACATATGCTGTACAGAAAGACACTTTAATGGAAGTGCAATCTTAGTTGTTTTCATAATTAACAATACATCCTCTGCACTAATAGTGCAATTAGTAATGGTAACATTTTATAAGGATGTTTGATTTTTTTAGTTAAGAGGCAGTCCCACAAAAAAGGTTTAATAATAAAACATATTACATGCAACACGTTACTGTGCCTTTGCCTAACCCAAATTAATAGTTGCCACAGTTTAAATGAGTTATAGTTATCTGTTCTGGAGTTTACTATGCTATGAATTGCAAAAACCTCCATAAAAACCACTCATGGCCTTGCCTTTCCAATTAATTATTACAAAGGGTACAATCCTTTCCCATCTAGGTGCATTGCTCACCCATAGAAGGAACCCATTTGGCTCGGATGAGTCTTCTTCCCCCAACCCCAGCTTAGCATGCAAGGGCCGTGTGCCTCCCATATTTTTATCCTGCCCTCCTGCACTTCTCAGCCAAATTACTTGAGAAGTAACTTGGTTCAATAGAGCAGGAATGGTAGGAATAGGACAAGTGCACACACTGAGCAGAAGGATTGAAACAGGGCTTTAAAAAGGATCCCTTTGTATGCAGATCCCTCTGTATGAAGCTGCTGTGTCCACTGTCCACCTAGGGAAGTGTTGTATCCCAGATGTTCAAAGTTTTATATAAAGGAACAAAACACTACTGTGTGTTCTTTCAATTGCACAACGTCTGTTTGGTGTATGGTTGCTGTTTCATGTAAAAAAATAAAGAAGAAACCCCATCCTTAGTGGTGTCCTACTGTAAAGAAAATTCTTGTTGAGACGGGCTTCAAAGTGTCAAACCTCATTGTAATTTACAGTGATGTAATTTTAACTAGAAGAAATTGTTCGGATTACTGTTTTGCTCACATGTAATCAAAGCCTAGGGTGTCACAAGCAAAATAAGTGAAATGCTCCATTTTTATGTTTAACTTGATATGAGAGATCTGCTGATGTCTGAAATAAAGGTTTCTCACTACTGACTATGTACAGTTAAGTATTATGATGGCAAATAAGGTTGTATGTATATTGATTAATGTGAGTTACAAGAAAAAAAGTGTTACTCCTTTTCATTTAACAATTACTATTGGAATCTCGCAGACCCTGCAGCTCATAATACTAAATAACTACATATTAATTATTTACTCAAAAAAAAATCAGAAGAAAATAAGTTTCTCCTGGACATTTCTTTAGAAAGAATAGTCTGCTGCTCTATTACTGTATTCTGTAGATCCATTACATTTTCTAGCTTAGCTCCTGATTACCCTGTCCTGAAAGTATTGATGCCGAATTCCTCTTTTCCAGACTCGGAAAATAATCTATTTAAACATTTGTTTGGGATATAATCCTTGAAACCTAAAATTGGTCTTAAAAATTCTGTCCTCCTTAATTGGTCTTTTACTTTAATTTGAAATGCACATACAATTTCCTTAAGTTTTCATTTCTAAGTAGGATGATTCTCACACACATTTTGTGTAGTGCATTAAGATGTCTTGCAAAGTTAAGAAAAGATTTGTATGAGTGCTCTCTGTGATGATAGTGGTCTGTGGGTTCTGGTTTTTCTGTAACTTGGTTTAGATTGTGCATATATTTCATAGTTTCTGTGTTAACTTTATTCTGAGCATGAAATTTAACATATTTGTATTTTCCTGCTACATATTTAAAATTTAAGACCACCCCAGTTATTGAATTTACAATTCAGAAAGAAATTTTGGCAAGCCTATTTTATAAACCAGTTTAATTTTATAATGTAAAAAAGTACTCTAATCTTGAAAATGCTATTTGCACTTTCATAGTCTATACTTGATACATTCCCACTTTATATACAATAGAATATTACAACCATGTAGATGTTTGGCCAAATGAATGCTGTTAATAATATGTAAAATTCTTTGATTAAACATTTATTACTTAAACTAATTTTTAATCTGCCTCATTATTTGTCTATGATTTCAGCAAATCCTGTGTTAGTACAGAGAAGTAGTATAGGGAAGAAAATAGTGCTGTAACAGATGTGTTTTTTGAGATTTTTCATTTAATTGACTTTGTGAAATATATAACCAGATAATATGCAATCAGATTATCAGTCAAAACCAACATCATCAAAAGAAAATAACCCATGCCATCCTCAGAATAAAGAAGAAAGCAGTTGTGAGATATACTCAGCATATCATGCAATCAAGAGAAGTCAAGTGGTGTCATTGGTCCAGGGTGCTTTCATTAATGAGCATCATAAATAATCTAATAACTTTTCCATCAATAAAGCATCCTTGATGCTACACCAACAATGATCTAGCCAGAGGATTCCTATCATGCCCCATGAAGACCTTCACTGTTTACCCCTAGTTAAGCCCTTTTTAGTTACAGGGATTAATATTTCATGTACAGTTTTTGAGGGGTCAGTCTGATAGCTTCTTTGCATTTTAAGCCTCCATTGCCCTGCCCCATTAAGAATCCCCCAGGGGCAGAGCCATAGGCAAGGCACTTCTGGTTCTGGGAAGAGTCAGCCTTTTCGTGACTGGAAGGTGAAAAGAGAAAAAGGCTGGAAGGTCTTCAAACAGCATGTCCAGTCGGAGCTGTATGAGCTGTATTCAAGTCCAGTCAGTTAAATATTGAGCCCGTCTTAGAGAAGGATGAACACCATACAAGAAAGAGACAATAAGAAGAAATAAAGATTCAAGAGCCTCAGTTCGGCCAGAACTGTGTCTATCTCCCAAAGACTTTACCTCTCCCCATAAAGACTGTGTAGGGAGACTCAGGAGGAGAAAGCATTTAAAATTCTTGTCAGTTAATAAATTCTTGTTTGATTCAACTAATCTCCGATCTGTTCCCTGTGCAACCAGCTCACCTTCCAAGTAACTAAGATAGTGTGGGGGGAGAACAATTCCTGTCTGCCTCTTTTTTTTCTTTCTTTCTTTTTGCCATTTCTAACCTGGTGGTTGCGATAAGAAAACATATTAATGATTTATGTTTATGTCCATGAGAAAAGTAAGAAAAGTAAAGGCATCAGCATTTGAAAGTATGAAGTGAACCCCGCAGTTCCTCAGCAAGTGCTTTGGTTGGTGACCCATTCTGAGCGTCAGTGCTATCAAAGCTGAACTGTTGTTATATGTTCCACAGAGCAGAAGTTCACGCGGACAATGTCCAGTTTCTATTTATAATGTATCAATGTGTGAAGATTTAATACAGTGGTGTGCTAGTTTGAAAACTTGAACATAAGCCAGAAATTGCCACTCTTCCACATACTCATAATCACAGAATTTTAAAACCCTCTAAACCAGGAGTCTCAAACTCATTTTCATTGAGGGCCACACCAATCTCATGTTTGCCTTCAAAGGGGTGTTGAATCCATGGATGGAGAATCAGTGGATACAGAGGGCCAATTAGATTTTTTTTATGTAGGGGTCAGTGCTCTCTAGTTTTATTTAGTTTGACTCTGCAGATGTTATTGAATGACTACTCCCATCACTTTTGATTATCCACCATGAAGTCTGGGGATAATGGGAATTGCAGTCCAACAGTACTTGTGGCTCTGAGGTGGGGAAAGGTTAAAGTACATTTTTAAGTCAGGCATCATATCCAGAAACCTTATATCTAAATGCAAACCTCGCTACCCTGACCACGCAGAACAAACTGCAGCCTTCCAGATGTTACTGTATCAAAACTTCGATCAGCTCTAGTGATGATATCTAATGATTAGGAATACAGGAGATGCAGTCCAGCATCTGGAAGGCCACGCAAAATGACATGGCAGGCCGGATTTAACCCACGGGCCTTGAGTTTGACACATTTGGTCCAAACAGTAACTTAAAAAGAAGTTAAGATCTATATGTCTCTGCTCTTGAAAAATATCTATTATTCATCAGCACCAGGCCTACCCAACCTGTGGCCCCCCAGGTGTTTAGGGCTCCAACACCCAGAAACCCTAACCAGTTTGTCCAATGAACAGGAATTCTGGGAGCTGAAATCTAAAAGACCCAGAAGACCACAGGTTGCACAGGCCTGCTCTACATCGAAGCACTTACTATGGATGCCCTCCGTCACCATTATTGTTTGCAACAGTGCTTTAGCCTCTGGTGAGTTGCATCAGAGAAAATCCTGAAATAAAAGGCTCTGTAATCAATACACTAAGGAATAAAGTAGTCTTTATACAGATAATATTTAGCTCTTTCTGGTCAACCCTGATAAATTAGACACACGTCATTGAGATGCTAGTCAAATTTGACAAATACACAGGCATCAACACAAATTATCAAAAATAAATGTTTTATCTGAATATAATACATTAGAAATAGAAATAAAGGTACATTGCAGGGTGCATAATATCATCTCACCGTAGTGTTTTTGTAACTAGCCAATTTCTCATGTTATAATGGTTTATTTTGTTTCCCTAGAAGTTAATTTATCATTTTTGTTCATGCAACATCTATAGCAATCCTTTTTATTGGGTCAACATACTTTTCACTTTAAAAAACCAACAAATTTCAGTACAAACAAACACGTATTGATAATGTCGATGTAGACGTTCAGTACCGCAAAAATGTAGTCATTAGGCTCCAGGCGGTAGTGGTGCTTCTTTCCCAGCATTAGTTGTGTATCCACCAACAGATACTTTAACAAAAAAGAAGTACTATGTGTTATTTTTTATTAAACAAGTTATTTATTTTGAAAGCAATTATTTTGCACAAACAGTCCGTCTTGTTTCTCAACATTTTCATCATTTTTCCTTATAGAGTGTTTTTTTATATTTATCTAGAACCTTTTTTTTCTTGATCTTTTTTTATTCCCAGAGAGGCCTATCAAATAATTTTCAAGTCTCAGGAAACTCCTGCATAAAAATACATATTTATGGCTCAAAAACCTCAAGCTTTTTCTCCCAATCATGGTCTTAATATGAATCGCCAAGGTTCCAAGGAACTCTGGTTAAGAAACCCTGGTTTCAATTAAAGCAGTGTTTCTCAACCTGGGGGTCGGGATGCCTGGGGAGGGTCATGAGGGGGTTTCAGAGGGGTCGCTAAAGATAAACAGAAAACATATTTCTGATGGTCTTAGGAATCCCTTTGGCATAGTCGTTTGGGTTCACATTGCTCTCTGGATGTAGGTGAATTACATCTCCCCTAAATCACTGTCAATTCATCCCAAATCCCTCCAGTATTTTCTGTTGGTCATGGGGGTTCTGTGTGGGAAGTTTGGCCCAATTCTATCGTTGCTGGAGTTCAGAATGCTCTTTGATTGTAGGTGAACTTTAAATCCTAGCAACTACAACTCCCAAATGTCAAGGTCTATTTTCCCCAAACTCCACCGGTGTTCACATTTGGGCATATCGAGTATTCGTGCCAAGTTTGGTGCAGATCCATCATGGTTTGAGTCCACAGTGCTCTCTGGATGTCGGTGAACTATAACTCCAAAACTCAAGGTGAATGCCCACCAAACCTTTCCAGTATTTTCTGTTGGTCATGGGAGTTCTGTGTGCCAACTTTGATTCAATTCCATCATTGGTGGAGTTCAGAATGGTCTTTGGTTGTAGGTTACCTATAAATCCCAGCAGCTACAACTCCCAAATGACAAAAGTAATCCCCCCAACCCCATCAGTATTCAAATTTGGGCGTATTGGGTATTTGTGTCAAACTTGGTCCAGTGAATGAAAATACATCCGGTATATCAGTTAATACCATTACTCAATTTTATCAACAGGACACACACAATCATGCATAGCCACTATTTCTTATCACATTGCCTGTGGATAAAAAAGCATATTTTTATTTGTCATGTAGAAACAGAAAGCATCTCAACAGATTCAGCCACAAGTTTTTAATGATGAAAACTTACTACGCTAAAAAGTAGTGATCCAAAGGCACCATATATTATTCGTAGCCACTAGAAATAAGGAGTTTACAATTAGTAGCAAGCAAAATAAAACTAAAATGCCACAAAACTTATCAATATTCATGTATTCAACAGAAAAACTTGGAAATTACAGAAAAACTTGGAAATGTATGTTACTATGTTACAAATCATATATTTTAAAAAATATAAATGAATGGCTTTTGTCAGATATATTGTGTTCCCATATATTTAGTTTATGTATGTGTATACAATTTATGTCTCTGTATCTCTTATAAGGTGTCGATGCATGAAATATGTGCACATTAAATGTCTGGAAAGTTCTGCTCTATATTGTTTCAAACACAAATCTATTTTCTTACAGTACACAAAACCTTGATTATATTAGCAATAACTGCGTTGGGTCCTGTTCTGGAAGTATAATATACCAATACTCTCATTTCTCCTATCATATTGATCATCTCTCTTTTCTGTCCTCTATAAAGAGACTGTTTCCTTGGAAGAAAGACTGTTCCTAGCTAGAACAAAGAGTCATTTCTCTATACACAGTCTTTCTCTTGTGTCTGCAGTGAACAGACACAGCTCTTTTTATAACAACAACAACAACAACAATGTTATTAAACAACTTTATTTTTGTACCCCACCTCCATCTCTCCGAAGGGACTCGGGGTGGCTTACATTTGACACAAAGGGATCTGCAAACTCCTGTATGTTATTTATTTAACAGCTGTGGGTCCATGGACCATAATAAAGTTTTGTGGTTGTTGTATATGACACAAAGTACCTAAAACAATGCATAAAATGAACACAGTACAATACAAAAAAGTAAAACCAACAGCATATAAAACAACAATTTAAAACTCAGAACGACGCCTAATAACCTATGGTAACAACTGCTGTAAAACATGACCATTCCCAGACAAGGTAATGGGGTAGTGCAAATATAGCTAGGGAACAAGGGCCACCACCGAGAGGGCCCTCTCCCTCATCCCCACCAACCGCAATTGTGACAGTGGTGGGACCATGAGGAGGGCTCCCCAGTATATTTTAACACTCAAGCAGGTTCATGGGGTAGGGGGGAATGCGGTCACCAAGATAAGCAGGGCCTGAACTGTTTAGGACTTTATAGGTAATAACCTGCACTTTGAATTTGGACCGGAAACTTATCTGCAGCTTTGGGTCAGCCTTGCTTTTGCAGATCAGGCTGAAAGGAGGGATCTGTTTCCTCAGCTGGTGATCCCACAAATAGAATATTGATATCAAAACTAACAGCCACATTAAAATTTAATCTGTCAATCCTTGTTTCAAAGTCCCTTAAATTGGTTGTAACAACTATATCTTATGGTTCATTAATTAATTCATAGAATTTCTATGCCATTCTTCAGTCACAAAGGCTCTGAGTGGCTTACAAATTGTTAATTTGACAATTGCCAACCCTCAGGTTTACAATCCAAATAAGAAAATGGCTACTGGGGATTAAATCCAGTAGATACTGCAGTTTTCCTTCCGAGGCCTTCCACACAGCCCTATTATCCAGAATATCATGGCAGAAAATCCCACATTATCTGAGTGTGGACTCAGATTACCCAGTTCAAAGCAGATATTGTGGGATTTTCTGCCTTGATATTTTAGGATATAGGACTGGGTGGAAGGGCCCTCCTTCTGTGGGCAGGGTACTGGCAGTTGGGGTATAGGGAGGGCCTCTCATCTTCTCCTGGACATTGTCATGGTATCTACAATCTACACAAGGTAATTTGGGAGGTGAAGGAAAACAACACAAGCAGGAATGACTTAGACGTTTTCTGAAACTTAAGTAAGAGTGGAGCCGATCTGGAAAAAGCAAAATGAAACAAACTTGGAGAGAGTGGAAGTACTTAAATACAAACTAATCATCTCCTCCAGTCAAAGATAAATGGTCTTAACTTACCATTGATTGCAGGATGGCAGCAAGAACTCCAAAAATGGCTAATACAGAACCCAAAATGAACAAGACTCCAGATGTAATGGTAAGGTCCCACTAAAAAGAAAAAAAAGACTGAAATCAAAATCTCCTATTTATAAGAATGACAGTATCAAAATATTACAGATCCATGGAAGGGAAAGACCTCCACCATCCCACAATACACCAAGACATCTCCTCTTTTGTTTCACCACCTGAAAGACACACACAATATATATTCCCTGACAAGTTTGTTTCCAAAGCAATGTTGTTTATAAATGCACTCTCCTCTGCCACCCAACTAAATACTTTCAAAGAATATTTCCAAACTCTGACAATATATGGATGGAGATTAGACAGAGTGCATGCTTGGCCTAAAATGCAAACCTGAGATAACACCTGCATTGTTGTTCAGTGCAAGTATGACATTGTTAAATCTATTAAGACTATGTTGTTACTATGCTATGGTCTGGCCTGAATTCTTCCAATTTTCCAATCCCACTAGTTAGACCACGACTCTTCAACCTGTAGGCCAGTGGTTCCCAAACTTATTTGGCCTACCGCCCCCTTACCAGAAAAAATATTACTCAGTGCCCCCTGGAATTTTTTTTTTTAAGTTTAATAGCAATTAAACAGAAAGATATATGTATTAATGTTTCTACCTTTTTCGTAAAATATAGTAAAGAAAGGTGTAAATTAGAAACATTGAAGTTTGAAATTATGAAACTATTGAACTCGGAATAGAAAGGTAATACAAAAAAAGTTAAAATTCAAAATCATCTTAATGAGAAGGATGAACCTGGTATGCTGCTACCAATTTAGTAATCCTCGGCTCTATTTTTGTCTGCAGTAATCTTAAATCACCGTGATTGACTATTTGCAATCGTTTTCTTTTATTGTTAATAAATTGGTTACCGCACTGAATCCACGTTCCACTAAATATGATGAAGGAAATGCAATAAAGAACTTTTGAATTACAGCCCATAATTCAGGATAAGCCGTAGGGATCTCCTTTTGCAGCCAGAATTGTTGGTAGCCGCTTTTGAATTTAAATTTCAATTCATCATTTGTAGTTACTTCCATCAGTTCTTCTTGTAACTGTGGAGATTCTTCAGTGTTTGCACTTGAAAAGGGATCCAAAATCCAATCAGGTATGTTCATTTTCAAAATATCATCAAATTGTTGATTAAAATCTGAATGGAGAGCATCCAAATGCTCACAATAACAAAGTATGTGTTCATCTTTTTTTCTGCTCCTGATAGATTTGGGAACTGGCTTAATTCTCCTCGTCCAAAATTTCATTTCTACAGAAGTTTTGTCACAAATGCAGAAATAATAGATTTTGTTTTTATTAAATTCAATTCATCACCTTGAAGCTGAGGATTGCTTTCATTAAATTTTTGAAACAAGTCGGTCAAGTAAGCGATGTCACTTTTGGATTGAATTAAATTGGATTGTAAAGCACCATTTTTATTTTTCAAGAACTCCAGCACTGAGTTAAACAACTTATAAAACCTTTGACACCCTTTGACAACCAATGAACTTATGTATGAAGCAGCAAACAATTAAATTCTTCATCCTTTTCATTACAAAGCTGTTTAAATAATCTGTCATTCAATGGTTTGCTTCTGATTGTGTTGATAAATTTAATTACATATTGTAATGAATTATGTAGGCATGCATTTAAATTTTTGGCAACTAGATGTTGACAACGAAGGATACAGTGTACTGTGAATGCATTCGGCACCTCCTTTTTCAAATATGCAAGGAAACCCCTGTAGCATCCTAGCATCACTGGAGCACCATCTGTGGCTACTGATAAGATGTTACTCAGAGGTATTTCTTTTTCTTTAAAAGACTCATCCAGTGCATGAAATATTAATTCTCCTTTAGCATCAGTTTGCAAATATTTAGCAAATAATAATTCTTGGCAAATTTGTTCCTTTGTAAACTGCACGTATGCTAAAAGTAAAGCTTCATTTCCTAACAAAGTTGACTCATCAAGTTGAATAGAAAACCGAGATGGTTTTAAATAGCCACACAATGAATCTTCAACATCTTGAGCCATTTCATCAATTCTTCTTTGCATTGTATTATTGCTCAATGAAATTTTCTTGATAATATCATATGCTAGCTTGTGTAGCACAGTACGTATTACTTCACTTATAGCCAGTATAATTAGTTCTTCGCCAATAGTATGGGGTTTTCCCGATTTGGCAATCATTAACGAAATATTGTAAGAAGCAAGCAAGCCATCGCCATCTTGTGTGGTTGCAGTTGAAAAGTGTTTTGCCAATGTCAGTTGTTTGATACATTTTTCTTTTAGTGTTCGAAAATAAGATAAATCCTTATCTTTTTTACCAGCATGAATTTTAGTCAAATATTCTTGTAGTCTGGAAGGCTTCATAGCTTCGTTTGATAAAACTTTCTGGCAAATCAGGCACATTGGTAATGTATTGTTTACAGGCGACTCAATAAAGCCATATTTCAAATATTTGATATTATATTGTCTAAATTTTTTCTTTGGTTGAGCCATTATTACCTGTAGAAAAAATAAAATTTTTATGGCGGTATTTTTAATTATTTTGTAATTTTTTGAAATATTTTTGTAAAAAAACTAAAATAAATACTAATGAAATAAATAAACATAGTATTAACTATAAAGTGCATATAATTATTACAAAATAAATAAATAATACTCACCAATTATAGTCGCACTATTTGTTAGTTAACTTTAACTTGTCACAATCACAACAATCTAACTTAGAGTTTTATTATGCCGTAATTTTCCCGTAATAATTATGGGAAATCTCCTGATTCATAGCGTGCTCCACAATCTGCTGGTAGTACTGCCAGTAGCCAGTACTACCACTGCCGTTCCAGGCTTTGGCCTTGCGATCGACCAATTGCATGAGTGGCAGTTGCCCACAGCAATGCTCGTAGTGCTCACGTGTTTTGGAATGGCAATTTAGTGGCACCACGTAAACAGTAGCAGTGTGCAATTGCACATACCCCAATGCAAATGAGGGAGTATGCAGGAATCGAGCCAACGTCCAGTATGTTGTTCAAAGAAAAATTAAGTGTTATGAGCGGAATACATAAATTAATTTTTCTAAATCTTCTTTCTTTTATGCTTTCACTGCCCCCTTACAGTTATTCATCGCCCCCAAATGCACCTGTGGCCATCATTGCCCCCCTGGATCGCTGCAGTGCCCACCAGGGGGCGGTAGCACCCACTTTGAGAATCACTGCTGTAGGCCTTCAGGTATTTGTGCCTCCAACTATCAGAAGCCATAGCCTGCTTATTTCATGGTTAGGAATTCTGGGAGCTGAAGTCCCAAATACATGGAGGGCCACAGGTTGAAGAGGCGTTAAAGCCATGCCCCACCTCCAATTACCATCTCTAATTGTTATCCAGATCAGGTTTGGATGAGAATCTGCAGTAAATGTTATAAATATACTCAAACCACTACATTACACTACCTCTATTTAGGAGACTGAGTATATCTAACAGTAACAATATCACATTAGCATTTTAAAGTGGAAGTGTCCGCTTTGCTATCGCCCACTTTGCTCCTGCAGAATTCTGGGAAATGTAGATTAGGAAAGCTGCAGACTTCTCTGGCTGAGAATTCCAAAGGTCCCACTCTAAACTACATTTCCCAGAATTCTGCAGGAGCAAAGTAGGCAATAAAGCTAGCAGCTCTGCTTTAAAATGCAAGTGTGATATTGTAACCATTGATATCTCAAATGTTTATACAAGACATTTAACCCCAGACTGCTTACCTTTGACTGAAATTCAAAAATAGAAAATCCAAACATGATCACTGCAGTGGCACCGACAGCCCACATCACTGATTCTGCATCAAAGAAACTAAAACCCAAGGACAGATAAATGTTTCTGTGACACATAATTATAACAGTGCAGTCAAACAAATCATTTATTAAGAACTTACGCAGCAATTGATCCAAGTAAGGTACCTTCAAGAACTGTCTAAAAGTAAAAACAGAATGAATTACAAATTGGAAACATTAAAGTCTTACTTGTGGATTCTTATTAGTATAATGTAGAAGGCTCTTTTGGCACTTATTCCTGAAAGAGGAAGTATATCTTCCAACCTAGAAGGAACTCTGACAGCACTCTTTAGTGTACTGAATCTCTATTATTTTACTATTTTCCAAACAACAAATTTAAGTTATCAATGAGAGTTCTGCCAACACTGTTTATATAAACCACACAATTTTTTCAAGATTCTAAATAGTTTCTAGCTGGAAATTAAATTCTCCATCAGGCCATTCACAAAACACTTTGTTTCATACAATAATTACAGCTAACCAAACTGCACTAATGGACTGCATGAGCCTATTCTAGTCCAGAAAGTGATTGTTTTGTAAAAGAAAAGAAAATAAGTGAATGGATTTCAATTTATTTAAAGGCAATTTACTTCCTATAAGGACAGCAGAGTGTGGAGAAAAGGACATTCTGAAAGAACCACAGACCACCCTCCCCCCCCCAAAGATTTATAGTTTACCAACAGATCTGAAATAAATATATGATTTTCCTTTTTTTAAAATACCCTTTCCAGATTTGTGATAGTTCAAAGCATCAGAAGATCAAGACCGCCAGAAACCTCTAAATTCTAAACTTTTAATAAATTGCATTTATTCTTCATGACTTTATATATAAAACTTGTATCTTTCCATGGACTGTATCTATTTCATATATATATATTAGTATAATATATATATATTAGTATATATATTGTATAAACTTCATTATAAAATGTAGCAATATGTGGCCTACAGACATTCACCTTTTTGTAACCCTGCGGAGAGATTTCCTGAGCAGGAAGGATGGGCAAATCCCTCTGGTTATTTCCCAAGCTGAGATAATCAAGCCTATTGCTTATGTATATGCAGAAACGGGTGACTTCGCTGTCAGCCCAGATAAACCCAAACCTGTTTGTCTAGCTACATGGTTCACTTGAAACTGAGAGATTGCTACCTGTAGAAACAGAGGCTTAGACTATGGGCATGTGTTAAACCTCTTCATTAACACCCAAGCCTTTGATTCCCCAAGATCATCACCTTTTGTTTCAGGAGCCCTGCATCTTTGCTTTCTGAAGCTCTTATCTTTGTTTGGCACAGAACTAGGCACTTCAGCTCACCAAAAGCTCATCAACATATTTTTACCATTTGTTTTTCCTGGACCTTGCCTTCCCAGGGGGCATCTCTGCAGCTGACTGGTCCTTCATTTTCCATCCCAGCCAATCCCAGCATAGATCCTAGCGAGTCTCTTTTCCGGCCAATCAGGGGAGGGAGTGGGAAGTCTGAATAGCTGTATATTGAATGTCTTGTATTTTTCTGTATTCTTATGCTTGTACATTTGTAGCAAACTTCTGTACTTGCATCCTTTTTGGCCAAATCATAATAAACCTCTGTGGCTTGTCTTCAACTTGATGAGTTGGTTTGTCCTGGCCTATCTGGTTTAGCATACGCTCACTAGGCATGGATTCTCTTATCTATGGTCCGAATTAATCACAATATGAAAATTGTCATAAACGACCCTACAGAACATATGACACTGAGAGAAGTAAGTTGGTAGTCTTCACTTTCATAATCTACAATACTTTCCCATACTACAGAACATACAGTACTGATGGATGTTCACAATGCTCATTTCAACTTGACATTTGGCAGAAATTTGGCAGAAAGGTCCAATTTATTTCCAGACTTGAAATAAATTACTTCACTGAGAGAAGTAAGTTGGTAGCCTTCACTTTCATAATCTACAATACTTTCCCATACTACAGAACATACAGTACTGATGGATGTTCACAGTGCTCATTTCAACTTGACATTTGGCAGAAATTTGGGCAGAAAGATCCAATTTATTTCCAGACTTGAGGCACTTCTTAGAGGGAAAACAGCTAGACAATTAACAATATATCTCTGCTGCATATGAAGTTGAGTACTTATAACAGTGATTAGTAAAATTAGCTTTCCTAATCTGAACATTATTTTGAACGAATACTTACAAACATTGATAACAAAATTATATTAAGTGGGAATCTTCTGCGGGCCTGATCACAACAGGCTAAAGCAATAGCCAGTATCAAGATTGCTGGTCTAAAAAAGAAAAAAAAAGGGGGGGGAGGGGGGGAAAGCAATAATTACAACCTAAGTTGTTAGAAGTGTTGACAAAATGTGTGGTTTACTTTCATATGTGGTGCAACTATCAACCACAGAGAAAATGTAATGATTGGAAAAGTACTATAATATACTTGGAGACATCCTGTTTCATCCTGGCCTGTACTGATTTCATGTATCAAAAAGACAGCTAACATCTTATTTAAAAATCACAACTGGACCTGATATATTCATTTAATATATTAATTATACCATTCTTAGAACAATCATAGGATAAAATATCAGAAATGCTGTTAACTATTGAACTGACAAATTAAACACTGAATGATTGTGTTGAATATATGTTAGCTATAGTTACTTGTCTAATATCAAATGTGCAATTTTCTTTCACAGTATTAGAAATACTTTTCTTATTATATATTGATAATATATGTTAGTATAATATGAAATGGTAAGGAAAATTACTGATTTAACTGATAACTGATACTTACAAGAGGGCATAACAAAACCATGGCCGCCTACGTACCCATATTGTAAGGTATTTCCTAGGAGGGAAAAAGAGAAGTGGGAAAGGCAGAAAAATCTCTAATTTAGAGAGATGAGTACTATTTAATTTTTTTTCTATCTGTCCTAGCTCTTAAGTTCTGATGATACACCACAACATTCCCTACTGGTCTTATGTTCAAGCATTAACTAGCCCTGGCCCTACTTGTTGCTATGTGCCTCCAAGAGTTTCCAACTTATGGCAACCCTAAGGTGATCATGTCATGAGAGTTTATTGGTAAGATTATTCACAGGAGGGTTGCAGTTGTCTTTGCCTTTCTCTGAGGCTGGGAGAACACAACTTGACCAATGTCACCCAATGGGTTTCCATGGCCTAGTGAGGATTTGAACCCTGGTCTTCAGAGTCATAATTCAAAGCTCAAACTATTATGCTAAGCTAGCTCTGTGCAACTTTGTATAGCTTCTGAAATCAGGTGAGTTCAAGTTAATACGGTGGTACCTGATTCTATTTAGGAGCAAGGTCTGAGTTAAACATTTACTCGTACCTGTGCAGCCAAAGGAATCACGGCTTAAGTATTTGTGAATCTCATGGGCAGACCTCATTCTTCTTATCCTTATTAGGGGAGGGCAGATCCACATGGCACTGTTCTAATATATTACCCTGTTGATAAATGAACTGTGTCAGTTTAGGAAAGTGTGTCGGATTGTTTTTAACTGGATGTCTCAACTTTTAGGAAGGCTTTTGGATAATAGTGCCAATGAGTCAGGTTGCTACAAAGTGTTTCTAGTCTTCTTTGTTTATTCTGTTTGTTGTTTAAAGGAATCTCTGGATAGGAAATGATCTTGTCTGAAATGCTACAGAGCTGATGTCAAAGTTGGAAATAGAAAGCAGGCTGGACCAATGGTCTGGCTTCCTGTGCTACTATGGTAAAAGACTTGTGTGATTTGGGATTAAGACTTTTACTCATTGAACTATTTGTCACAAAAAGCAGGAGGTAAACACACACATACACACTTCTCACTTCTCTCAGGTTTAGTTAACTCATGTCTACTCGAGCAAGAATGGAAAGATGTCACCAATGGGGAACAGCCAGTCACTCTTCCAAAGTAATTAAAGCACTGGACATGGTCCTGGAGTGACTAAAGGTGTTATCCTATGGGGTGGGGAGCGTCATATATAAGTGGAATTATGTCCCGTTGCCCCTGGTAGCGCAGCAGGTTAAACCACTTAGCTGCAGAACTTGCTGACCGAAAGGTTGGCAGTTTGAATCCAGGGACCAGGATGAGCTCCAGCTGTTAGGCCCAGCTTCTAACAACCTAGCAGTTCCAAAACATGCATATGTGAGTAAATCAATAGGTACCGCTCCAGCAGGAAGGTAACAGCGCTCCATTCAGCCATGCTGGCCACATGAGCTTGATGGTGTCTATGGACAATGCCAGCTCTTCGGCTTAGAAATGGAGATGAGCACTATCCCCAGTCAGAAACAACTAGACTTAATGTCAAGATGAAACCTTTACCTTACTAAATCCTGATGCATTAGAAATCAAATCGTATAATTTCTCAGATCCCATCATACATTGTTCTTTCTTGCCTTTTCTCCTGAAATCATTGATTTTCGAATCTATCACAAGAGTGAGTGAGGTTCCCTCCCACTAAATTACAAAAATATCCCTTGGGGATAGACTTTCCCTTTGAATCCTGCTACTCCTGAGTAGACAGAAGTCATTGATCTGGGAAGAGAGACAAGCCTGGGGGATACAGGCTTTCCCTTCCAATCCTTGTACTCCTGAGGCATTGATCTGCACCACACACCCCCTTCTTTGGGCTCTTCTCTTTCCTCCCAATCTCATAAGATATGTGTAGCACAATTCAAAAGCCATGATGACTATGATGGAGAAATGACAGTAAAAATAAAAACAAATTGGAGAGTGGTCCTAGGTCCAGTATTTGTCAACTTTCAGTATTTGCCATGATTGTATTACTTTTGAAAAATCACCTCAGAGCTACTAAATCCATATGTAGTGGCACAGGTTTTGCTTCTACTTCTGGAATTAAAGTACTAGAGAAGCATTCAAGCACTGCCCCAATAAATCAAACTTAGATGTACTTACCAGTAGATGAACATGCAGATTATACCAACAGTGAAGCTCAGATGAATTGTCAACATGAGATATATTTTCCTGAGGAAAGCTAGAGGAGCAGTACAAATATCACTCTATTTGTTCCCCAAATCATTATTTTTTTGTTTTGGACTTGGAAGATACAAAGAAAACAACAATGGACTTGAAATTATTGGGTAGCTATTACAATTACAGAGATTCTGATTCAGAATCACCCACCCCTAATTCATCTGGTGATCTTTATAAACACTTATTGCTGCACTTCAATTCTGGAATGTAACTTACTATTTCTTCTTAACCCGTTCCAATCCAGACTAACAAGCCATGGTGTTTGAAGAATAAATGAAAAGAAGGTAAATTTAGATTATTCTTAATAAATCTTAATTGAATGGCTTGTGAAATCCCATGCCACAATTTGGCAGTTTTTGGACTCTGAATTACAAATCCTACCATCTTTGGCCATTAATCCAGTGGTTCCCAATCTTTTTTTTTTTACCAGGGACCACCACTTGGCCAGGGGCCACTTGAACAGGGACCACTTTGACCAAGGACCACTCTCCAACATTAGTACCAAAAGTGTTATGAATCATTTTTTGGTCAACTTTAGATTTGGTTTGGTTACTTGGGGTGCTGTTTCAGAGAACTGTATTGGATAGACCACATCAGCTCTAGTTTCTGATATAGATCATATGCCATCCAGTAGTCGCCATCTGCTTGCCCTCGGGTTTTGCGAGATCAGTCACTCTTGTTACAATGGTGTAGTAACAGTGAGGTCACAGACCATATTTTGGTTCTTGCGGACCACTGGTGGTCCGTGGACCACAGATTGGGAACAACTGCTTAATCAGACTGTAGAATTTGTAGAATTTGTAAAAGAGCCATTAACAAATGGGCTACCTCATAGCAAAAGTAACAACTAGACATTGCAAACCCCAAGATTCCCCACTCACCCCAAATTAACAATGTAGTAAATTGTTGAAACTTTGCAAAAATTTGTTAGAAAAATTCCTGCCATTACCTCTTCGGAGAGTTTTGTCTGAAAATGGTCCCTCTTCATCTACAAATGTTACCATCTTTCTGCGCCTTAGATGAGCTGATCTTGTGCTTCTTGGCCGTCTTCCATGGGATGGAGAAGATCTTGCTGCTCTTACTCTTGTTGGAAACTGAACTGAAGTGTGTTCTTCCTGAGGTTTTTCTCCAGTATGTTGCTGATTGCTAATAGGTGACAAATCTTCTTCCACAAAGATCTTAACTGAGCTTGTGACTTCTGGAGAATCCCCACCAGGATGTTGATACCTGATGTATACTATATCTCCAAGAAAACATATTGGCAGACTAGCCTCCATCTTGGATAAGTATTTTCCAGTTACGCCTTCAGATTAATCATAGAAAGGTATCAGGTCAGTCATTATTACAACTCAAACGCAAGCTCAACCATGAACATAATCCCTCGAAGTTCACAGGCCTTTGCTCTCACAGCCTTTCTTGAACTCATATCAACCCCAAAATAGGGGATTATGGGGTTCATAGTTCAAAACAACTGGAAGCACCTAGGTTAGGTATGGTTGTTATAGTGGTGCATTGAAAACTGTAGCCTTAAAGCCAGAAAACCTTAAAACTAAGTAATGGTAAAGGGGAAGGAGAGGGAAGCAATCTCCCTTTAAACAGTACTCGGAATAGGAGGAGGCCTGAGAAAAAAAGAAACAACGAGGAAAATACAATTATAGCAAGGATAAAGAAATAATAATAATAATAATAATAATAATAATAATAATAATAATTTATTTTTGTGGTATTTGTATACAGCTGTTTTCAACCCCCAAGGGGACTCATGGTGGTTCACAGTGTTGGCAACAATTCAATACCATTGATAAAATACACTATAAAACATCAAAATTTACCCTTCCCTGATAAAACATTAAACCTTATTAAATACTTGCCGGCTTGAGGCGGGTCACAGCACAGTTAAAAACACACAAATACTATATAAAAATTCTACAAACACAAATTAAAATTCAGTTCATAAAAGATACAGATCAAAACATTTATGTAAAATACACATTAATCATATAGGACAGAGACCAAACTACATGACATGAGTTTAAAATTAATGCTTTCAACTTAAGATGAAATATAGTCAACTAAATACTATTACCAACAATAGCAATTTTATGCATATTAATACATGTTTTCATCTGTTTTCACCTCATAGCACTAATCGAAACTATTATTTTCTTATGAAATCTAGACTCTTTAAAACAGATTATTAAAATAAACGGAACTTTATTCCATTATCTATTTATAGCTCACAATCTTTGAGCTTATTTGGAAGCCAACACACCGGTTTGCCCTGGGATACCAGGTCGGTGTCGTTCAGTCCTGAGTTGGGCTGAAAATAGTCTGAGGACAAAAGTACTAAGTGGCATAAAGTTATGTTGTTAAAATGTTGCTGATATTTAAGTTTCTGTGAAGCTAAACAAGAATGTTGTAAGTTAAGGTTACTGGAACACTAAAAGCTGGACTTCCTAAGCAGAGAAGTCAGAATTGAAGTTATGAGCCTAACTAGAGGGCAATAAGAAAGCGTTCTTTATTTATTTAAAGATGCTCTACCTGGAGATCCTGCACTGAGCAGAGGATTAGACTATTCCATGCCCATTCTACTTTCACCATAACACCTGTTCATTCCCTCTAGAATACTTACCAATTGTTTTAATCTTGGATGATAATACCCATGCATTATTATCACTTTTCATTACGAGGATTCGGAAGCTAAAATTTACCTGGTAAGTAAAGGAAGAAAAAAATAGTAATCAAACTATAAGCACTTCCTGTTTAGATCAACAATACAGCCACAATCCATTCAACTATATTCATACAAGCTTTCTGGCCTCTCTAGAGATTACACATTGATTCTCACCAAATTTTAACAAATTATGTTTTAGGGACACTACTGTTGTAGACTTACACTAAAAGTATGATTTATTTATTATTATTTTCTGTTTCTTTCTGGACAATTATGTCAAAGTTTTGCTTTGGATATAAGTATTATGAAACTGTATTTTAAATTTCAGCAGCAGGAAACTCTTATAATAATAGCATATTTGATTCTATGAAATATTATTAGCTGCTGAAACATCAAATTATTGTTTGCGATGGAATGCAGCTGCTGAAAACACAATCATAGTTAAAAACAGTGTAGAAGTCTCCTTCATAGACAAACCTAGTTCATTCCATGCAAACATGTTTTCTCAATATAGAAAAATAGCTTATATTTTATCATTCTAATATTTATCTATCTAGCTTTCAAAAACTATTAAACACAAACACAATATCCGAAAAATCTATCCATCATCTATTCATTTCTTTATTTGTATGCCAGCTCTCTCCCAGACTGGGACTGAAGGCAAAAAAGTAAAAAAATACAATAAAGGTAAAAAAATACAATAACAATGCATATGCTTACAACATACAAATTTAAACAGTATTTAAACACCTGGAATTAATCTTTAGTGTATCCACAGATGCAGTATATGGGGATTACAACTGTGTGTTTAAAATTCAACTTAAAAAAAGATTAAATACAGCACAGCACTGTAAGAAGTCTTTTACTTGTTAAAATCTATTTCCAAAGGCTTGCTGCAAAAGAAGGGTCTTAACCTACTTCTTAAAAGTCAACAGCAAAAGAGCTGTAAAGCAATGTTTTTGTTCTGCTCCACCTTGTGTGACTGTGGAGCAGAACACAACAACTCAGCATCTGTATGCTTGCCCACAATGCCCTGCCTCATGCAGGGCATTGTGGGCAGGCATACAGATGCTGAGTTGTTTGTTCTAATTGCTTAAAGCTACAGACAATAGGCTTTTGCCTATTTATTGTCTAAAACTATTTAGCCGCTTCTTCTCCCTCTATTTTGTCAGCTTTATACAGCTTTATTCAATGCTTTTGACAAGAAATAAATAAAGCAAAAGAGTAATCCTAGCTTTCCTTGGGAGGGAGTTCTAAAGTATGGGAGTAACCACAGAAAATAGGTTTAAATCCTGATATGCAAATTTATTAACTAGAAAATGTTTTAGATCCTAGTAAAGTAAATCAGTTAAGATTGATATCTGATGCATTTATTGTTTACTTTCATTAGAAAATAAAGGAAATTTTTAAAGGGCAAAATGTTCCACAAGGAGCAAGTAGATGTTTGTATCTCTGAAACCCTCCTCAGGACATTTAGACTATCCCATAATAGCCTACTTCATAAGGTTGTGAGGGATTTAATAAATAAAACCATACGATTTTGATAAAATAAATAAAATTATTTCACTGAACACAGAACCAGTGCTATTAAACAACTATTTCTATTGTAAAATGGGTTAAACCCTTGTGCCAGCAGGACTGCTGACTGAAAGGTCGTGGTTAGAATCCGGGGAGTGGGGTGAGCTCCAGTCTGTCATCTCCAGCTTCCCGTGCAGGGACATGAAAGAAGCCTCCCACATGTAAAACATCCAGGCATTCTTACAGATGGCCAGTTCTCTAACACCAGAAGCGACTTGCAGTTTCTCAAGTTGCTCCTGGCATGAAAAAAAAATTGAACACAGAATCAGTGCTATTAAACAAAAATTTGTATTGTAAAGTAGAAGACCAAGCACTTTGTGATTAATTGAAAGTAATACAATTTAATGTATCTATTTCATACTTTAAAAGAATTTAGTGATTTAAATATTCCTTAAGAAAGAGTAGTCTTTGTTTAATGTCAATACTGAATTAATATTTAGTATATTCACTAGAATAATAGAATCATAGAATCAAAGAGTTGGAGGAGACCTCATGGGCCATCCATTCCAACCCCCTGCCAAGAAGCAGGAATATTGCATTCAAATCACCCCTGACAGATGGCCATCTAGCCTCTGTTTAAAAGCTTCCAAAGAAGGAGCCTCCACCACACTCCGGGGCAGAGAGTTCCACTGCTGAACGGCTCTCAAAGTCAGGAAGTTCTTCCTCATGTTCAGATGGAATCGCCTTTCTTGTAGTTTGAAGCCATTGTTTCGCGTCCTAGTCTCCAGGGAAGCAGAAAACAAGCTTGCTCCCTCCGCCCTGTGGCTTCTTCTCACATATTTATACTGCATTACATGAAGACTCTTGGTGTAGCATCAATAGTGGGGGGAAACCCATTTAGTAGCTTCTGGGAAAGTATCAGAAGTTGAAGGGAACTGAAATTTTTTTGCAGTAGTCAAATTAAGACATGTATGGTATTAGTAAGAGCACAAAAAGGCAGGCTTTATACAAATGATTTTAGGATACCATAGTGAGTGGCCACCATTACATTCAAAACAGGGTTACCTATTGAGGATATATAAATCATTAGCCACTCTGTGTTGATTTTCATCAAGAGTACTATGGCAACATGTTGTGCAGAAGCTTCACGCAGCAAAATTCCAAAACGACAGTTAAGTGAAACAGATTTAAGAGGGAATGTGAAGAAAGGGAAATAAGATCAGCGGCTTTTACTACCATCACCCTTTCCACACTTACAGTTTTGACCTTTGTGGATTTGATTATTCATGGGATTGATTTGAAATGTTCAAGGAGACGTTCCAAGGGACGAAAGCACGAGTTGCCACATTGGGTGACACCAAATATAGTAACGCAATGACTTGATTTTAATTCACAATATATTTTGTACTTTTTATGTTTTCATGTCTTAATGCAGCACAGAATTATTGCCAATTCAGAAGCCGCTCTGAATCTCCTTCGGGGTTGAGATAACGGAGGGTAAAAATACATTAAATAAATAAAAATTGGTGAGGTTGTCTGGCCCTTTTCTTCAGATGCCTAAACTGTATTGCCAATTGCTCAACTGAAGTTATTGCTATGCTAGAAACGTTAAAAGGCATTAATGGCAGAATTCTTATTAAAGGGGGCATAATCCCATTTTCCTCCCTGTAGCAACACCCTTCACAGCGAAGATGCATCCTTCAGTCCCAAATTTGCTGCCAAGGGCTCAGGTTCATTGCCTTTTCCTTTCATAGGAGAGCTAGGATTGATTTGAATATTCCAAAAGGCATTTCATGTGTGAACTGTCGTTTTTTCTAGAGCCCAGGCTGAAAATCAAACTGAATCGACCATGCCACCTGGTGCCTCTCGGTGTATGTACACCAAATAATAAAAGAATACTTTAACTTCCATGGTTCAATTTTAAAGAATCCTGATAGTTTTACAAGGTCTTTAGCCCCCTCTCTGCCAAAGTGGAGGTGCATCACCAAAGTATACTTCCCAGGATTCCATAGCATTGAGCCATGGCTGTTAAAGAGTGAACTTTACTGTTTTGTATATCACTTCAGCTGATCCTTTTCCGCTAATGAAACTATGTAGTGCCTTTAAAAC